TATTCATCCACATTCTCATTCATCCTTGCTTTTCCTAATTCTCATATTCATCCACAATCTCGTTCATCCTTGCTTTTCCTAATTCTCATATTCATCCACATCCTCATTCATCCTTGCTTTACTAATTCTTATATTCATCCACATCCTCATATTCATCCTTGCTTTACTAATTCTCATATTCATCCACATCCTCATTCATGCTTGCTTTACTAATTCTCATATTCATCCACATCCTCATTCATGCTTGCTTGCTTTACTAATTCTCATATTCATCCACATCCTCATTCATGCTTGCTTTTCCTAATTCTCATATTCATCCACATCCTCATTCATGCTTGCTTTTCCTTATTCTTTTTATGCTCATTCACTATCAGTTACCCTTATTTACCCTCATTCTTATCCCTCCCTTTTCCTCCTCATTTATCCCACAGTAAACTACGGTGCATTTGAAATATCGTTCTGTTGGCAGCTAGGGTTAGTTGTACACTGTACAGTATACATACAGACGGCAAAACAGGACTGTACAATAAATGCCTCATCACTTTCTTGTACAAATTAAAGTGATCAAAGCGAAAAGCCAGAGTATAGTATATATGTTCTACAATTTTATATGTCACATTTCTGTTGCATACTGAACTCTGAACAAATAGTTTTTAAGAAGAAGAAGTATTAAAGTGATCATCATCCAGATTCATCCCCATCCTCATTCAATTTTACTCATTCTTACTCATGCCTATTCATCCTTACTCATCCCTATTTATCCTTACTCACGCCCCTATTCATCTTATTCATCCTCATTTATTCTAACTCATCATTATTCATCCTTACTCATCCTTATTCATTGTTATTCATCCTCATTCAGCCTTACACATCCTCATTCATCAATAGTCATCCTTGTTTATTATTACTCATCCTCACTAATCCGCACTCATATTTATTCATCTCATCCTTCTTCATTTATACTCATCCTTATACATCATTATTCATTCTCAATCATCCTTACTCATATTCATTAATCCTCATCCTTGTTCATAATTACTCATCTGCATTCATCCTTACTCATCCTTATTCATCAATAATATGTTTGTTCATTATTACTCAGCCTCATTCATCCTTACTCATCCTTATTCTTTCTTCCTATAATATTTACTACTTCAGGGCAGACGTTCAATCAATTGGTGAAAGGAAATAATACTTTAAATGAATGGATTGAAAAAAAAAATCCAGAAAAATGTACATAATGTTTTATTGATAAAACATGAGTACAACTCAGTACAAGCACCTCTAGATGTTCTAGAAGAAGCAAGAAGGGGGGTTAAATCGCTGTAAATTGCCCCCCCCCCTCCGCCCAAAAAAAAAATTAATGTGAATAAAATTATCAAAAGTAATATTTTTTCACATTTTTAAAAATCATCGGTTTACTTCGGATTTACTTAAAATATGTCAGGCTGAAAAAATTAAATATTTAATATTTCTGTTTCTCCCCCTAAGAATTTAATAATGTAATGTCAGGAAAAGTTTCAAAACCATTTTTCCATTTGAAATGTGGACAGAAAATTTATGAAAGTCATCAACCCTCGGGATCCAGAACCAACTGCACTCAATCATGATGATATATATCAGCATGTCAGGATATGTGAGATATGTCAGGATATGCCAGAATATTCCAGAATATTCCAGGATATGTTAGGATTTGTCAGAATATTCCAGGATATGCTAGGATAAGTTAGAATATGTCAGGATATGCCAGACTATTACAGGATAAGTTAGAATATGTCAGGATATGCCAGACTATTACAGGATAAGTTAGAATATGTCAGGATATGCCAGACTACAGGATAAGTTAGAATATGTCAGGATATGCCAGACTACAGGATAAGTTAGAATATGTCAGGATATGCCAGACTATTACAGGATAAGTTAGAATATGTCAGGATATGCCAGACTATTACAGGATATGTCAGGATATGTCAGGATATGCCAGGATAAGTTGGGATATGTCAGGATATGCCAGAATATCCCAGAATATTCCAGGATATGTTAGAATATTTCAGATATGTTAGGATATGCTAGGATATGTCATGATATGCTTGGCCGTATGTCAATATATTCCAAATCCCATGCAATATCCCAATTTTTGTTCTAATACAAGAAACGAAAATAATCCTGTAAATTTTCAAAATTATTGCGCAAATTAAACATTTAATAAATGTTAAATTAATTTTCCAAATATTTAATTCATATTTTGGAATATTTTCCATCTAAGCCTGGACTCCTTTTGTATTTTAAAAACGTTCTGTTACATTATTTAAATAAAAAAGAAGGTCCCAAAATATTTCTAGGTTTATATTTTTTGGTAGATTTCTGCTGCTTAATTTTTTTTGGTAGATTTTGATTTACTTATTTTTGGTAGATTTTTTGTGCATATGTATTATTTGTATGTATATTTCTTGATCGATTTCTAATGTTTACATTTCTATGGTAGATTTTGGATGTAAATAATTCTTAGTAGACCTCTTGTATATATATGTTTGGTAGATTTCTGGTGCATATATTTGTTGGTAGATTTCTGGCGTACATATTTCTTGGTAGATTTCTGGCGTACATATTTCTTGGTAGATTTCTGGCGTACATATTTCTTGGCAGATTTCTGGCGTACATATTTCTTGGTAGATTTCTGGCATACATATTTCGTGGTAGATTTCTGGCGTACATATTTCTTGGTAGATTTCTGGTGTATATGTTTCTTGGAAAATTTCTGGTTAATCTACAAATTTCTTAGTAGATTATAGTGAATCTACATAATTCTTGGTAGATTGCTGGTGTAAATATTTTTCTAGGTTTTCTGATGTATACTTTTATTTTCTTTGGTAGATTTCTGGTGTATTTGTTTTTTTTTGGTAGATTTCTGGTGATGGGGGAGGGGAGGACTATGTAAAAACTAAAAAAAAGGGTAGACACGTTAGCAATGTGCACTAAGACCCACATGTCACATTTAAAAAGAATTTAAAAACTATTGAAACTTTCATTTCTTCGGGCCGGGATATATCAGATATTCTTATAAACTCAATTCCTTTAAACTCTTGTTATTATATAAAGTATTATTAAAGATATCAGATATTCTTATAATCTTTATATATTTTCCTAATATTAATAGTGCATTAGTGCACTATTGCTCATTAAGTGAATGACCTCCATTTGCAATAAACATTCTGGTTTAACACTTATTTATAAATGTATTATTTGTTATTGTTTAGATGGACACAATCCATTCCATTCTACAGACTTTCTTTTATTGTTTGAACAAATATACAATACCTGAAAGAATTTAAAAATGAAGCACATTTTGTTAGATAATAAGATAATTTTCTTTTATATATAACCAAATGTTATGAGTTGTGTCCATCAAAAAATCTGAGATAATCCTAACACTCTGTTCGCATTTTCGAGCTGTTTTTTGTTATTCTATTTTAGGAATGGGTATTTTCCGAATATACGATTTTTGGATCCCCCCGCCCCCCACCCCTCCTATCAATTTTGTACATGGATCTCATATGTAACACATGGATATAATTGGTCATGTGGCCGCAGAGCCCGGCCTACTAGCCTGTCCTCTATCCGCGGCGCTCGGCCCCCTATCAGGTCCTTAACCTAACTTAACCCTAAAATAATAAAAATCTTATACTAAGGACGGACCCCGAACATGTTTAACAGTGCAACCTTGTTCTACCCCATTTGCTCCCCCACCTTTTCCAAACCCCCTCATTCTCCCCTTCCTAATAATATTCATATTGCAACGTGGTTTGCGTGGTAGGAAGCAATTGAGAATATATATTTAAGAAGAAAGGTCCTTTAAATTATATACACAACTCTTAACTTTTTCAATAAGAAAAGTTGAAGAAAATTGTTCACCTATCAAATAAAATATATAAATCAATAAATGCAATTTTTAACTCAAAATAGTTTAAGAATTGGTTTGAACCTCTTGTAAAATGTATTTAAAAAACTAAAATGTTAGGGCATTTGGTTAAAAAAATGTAATTAACTGTTTATAACACTAAGATTTTGGTTCGCAGTGTTTTAATTGTTTGGTCAAAAATGTTCTGTTTATCGTAGCTAATTTGATATATTACTTTTTCTCCGTACCCCCCCCCCCCTACCCCCCTTATTTCTTCATTGCAGTTTGAGTAGCCAAGAGGTAATATTTGCTTTTTAACTCAATTAAAACTCGTATTTATTCTTTATAATTGACGTGTGTTCTACCCCAAGAAGCTTTGACCGTATTTTCAATATTTAAACTTTTGTATTCTTTAGTTTTTTTCGAGGCTTATGTTGCCCAGGTAATAAAGGGTATTTTGTATTGTTCCTTTTAAAATGCATTTCTCCATACAAATAAAAATGCTGCCCAATGAAAAGTTTAAGTGAGCCGTGAATATTTATAATAAACTCATCGCTTTTAAAGAGATTTGAACGCTGTCTTTTGTCATTTAATTAGGTTTACACCATAATTCTGAACTCATATCAGAACTTTTCTATTTAAAATCTTTTACTTTCCCCTCTTATAGTTAGTTTAATGTTGAAAAGGTAGGTTTGGTATACATCAAGTGGTATAAAGAAATCAAATAAGAACTCCTTTTTCCCAATTATAATTTCATGTAAAGTATTAAAAAATCTGAGCAATATCTTTAAAATTAAAAAAATGTATTCAACTCTTTTCGTAGGTTTCCAGATAAAAAATTGCGCATTTCTATTCACTCGTGACTTTTGACAACACACTTTTTGATAATCATGATCAGAAACTGTTCATTTAATCATGAACGGAAGTTACAACTGTTCAAATTATGCAAAGTACAAAATTTGGCAAAAAATGGGAAAATGTATCATAAAACTAACAAGTGCAGAGACACAGTTGGCAAATCATAGGATTTAGTAGTATTTAAACTGTTATAAGTTAATGTCAGAAAGAAAACAAAAATGTTGGCGTAAAAATGGAGAGAATTAATCTTTTTTCAAGAAGCTTTGAAAACGAAGAAGAAAAACGAAAAACAATCGGTCGATTTTTTAAAAAAGTTAGTCGTATTGTTAACGAACGTAGGTTGTTTTTAATTTTTGACTATCGTTAACGATCTGTAATGAAGTCTGAAAGGTAAAATACATTATTTTGTGTCATAAAAAAATAGGTTATTTCTCAGTCTCGATAAAAAAAAAACATTTAAGATAACCTTCATAGACTTGTCTTATTGTAAAAAATTAAATTTCTTGTCATAAAACTTAGATTCATTAGCGAATTATTTTTCAAAAACTATTGTTTGAAAAATAAACTATCGTTAAAAAACGATCATTTTTAGTTTTTTAAAGATCAAAATGATTGGTTCATTTTTAAAAGCGATCGTTTTTTTTCCAAAACGAAACAATCGTTTAAGAAAAAACGAAAAACGATCGTTTTTTTCTATCGTTTAAAAAAAATCATTAACACCCGACATGCTTGGCGACGATATCTTCCTCGAATGGAATCTTCCATTTGGAGTAAGTAACTTTAGTTACATAGTCCCTTAAAAAGATTAGTTTTTAGAATCGAGTTGAACGAGATGAACGAGAATGACGAGATGAATGAGATGAATGAGACCGGTTTAGTGGATTGCAATGACGACTGTCAAGAAATCGAATGGAGTTTCTGGATTGAGGTAAACAATTTTAATTTGCACATTCTAATACGGCCTCACTTAATCTAAAATTTATCTTTACGGTGCACTGTGATCTTGCCAGGCTACATTTGTTGTATAAAACGTGCTGGGTCGAATTTACACAAGGTAGACTGGACAGTACGACTGTATGTATTTACAGTCCATGATAATGTTATACAATTGGAGAAATGTTGGTGAACGTAAGTCAAAATTTGATTATTATTCGGTCCCCGCTTGATCTAACATTTAACTTTACTATTCGTGTAAAAATTTACTGAATTTGAGTCAGGCCACACTTGATCTAACATTTAACTTTACAGTGAACTATTTGTGTCAAAATTTACTGATTTTAAGTCAGACCACACTTGATCTAACATTTAACTTTACGGTGAACTATTCATGTCAAAATTTACTGATTTTAAGTCGGTCCACACTTGATCTAAGATTTAACTTTACGGTGAACTATTTGTGTCAAAATTTACTGATTTTAAGTCGGGCCACACTTGATCTAAGATTTAACTTTGCGGTGAACTATTTGTGTCAAAATTTACTGATTTTAAGTCGGGCCACACTTGATCTAAGATTTAACTTTGCGGTGAACTATTTGTGCCAAAATTTACTGATTTTAAGTCGGGCCACACTTGATCTAACATTTAACTTTGCGGTGAACTATTTGTGCCAAAATTTACTGATTTTAAGTCGGGCCACACTTGATCTAACATTTAGCTTTGCGGTGAACTATTTGTGCCAAAATTTACTGATTTTAAGTCGGGCCACACTTAATCTAACATTTTTAAACCTGATTAAAAAAAGTTCTTGTCTAAGTCCTTCCTTTTTAAAGCTAGTCTTCTAGAAATTTTAAAAATTATCTTAGATAAGAAGATTTTATTTATACAGGGGCTTTGTAGACATAAATTATGTGTACAATTTAATCCCAAATTACCCGACACTTAATAGTCAGAAAAAAAAATAAGGATCATAAAAAGGATTTACCTCTGAATCGAAAATGGCACTCTATGGAAGGTCACTTGAAATAACGTTTACAGTCCCTTTAAGAAAATGTTTATGTAGGTTTTTCTACACGAATAATAGGAAAAACAAATAATGAGAAGTAAAGCCATCCTTTATTGGCCCTCGTTCAATAATCACCAATACTGACATTCTCCTCTCCCCTGGTCCCCCCTCCCCCCCCTGTTCACATCATCCTATAAATATATAATAGTATAATTAAAAATGTATACAAATACGATCAGGAATAGTTCATAATTTCATAATTTTGGGCATTTATAGTTAAATGATAATGATAATATCATCACTAATCTATATAATAAAACAAGACATTCATATATATATACATATATATATGTTGCCTATAGCCGGCCAAACGGTTCTGGACCCGATGGGCTGAAATGACATTTTTTTTAGACACTGATGGGTGGCCAGGGGGTGTTATAGGCTAAAAAAAATTTGATCTTTTTTTTCTTTTTTTCCACGGTCAATGCCTGGCCTTTCAGCTAGTAGGTCATAATTTCATAACTTTTGGTAAAATTACTGATTAAAGGCTATTATATTAACTATTTTGGTAAAATTACTGATTAATGGCTATTATATTAACTATTTTGGTAAAATTACTGATTAAAGGCTATTATATTAACTATTTTGGTAAAATTACTGATTAATGGCTATTATATTAACTATTTTGGTAAAATTACTGATAAATGGCTATTATATTAACTATTTTGGTACGTACATTAAGTCATTTACCAACTTACTACTTACTTCTGAGTCGTCAATTATGAAAAAAAAAAAAAATACTACTTAACATTACAGTATGAAACGATTATGTAAAAAAAGAAGTGGGACTTGATGTACCCTTTTCAGCCGCAATTTCAAACAATTTCTATCCCTCTATTTTCTCTTTAAATTATACATAAAGAATAAGTACATAAAACATTTACAATGAAAGGCTCCAAATCCGATGCGCCAATTCTCTACTGCATTGGAAGGTCATAGAAAGAATATATTCATACATAATTAAGGGTCAAAGCAGGATCAATACTAGAAGAAAAATTGTGAAGAAAAACCATTCCAAGTATAGTAAATGCTGTACACTGTAATTTAAAGGTCTTAAGCTCTCCAGAAAAAATCTATGAGAGTTTTCCCAATTACTTCTTAAAAACCAAACACAACAACAAGTGCTTAATAATTCTAAAATGTACATGTTAGTTAGTGCGTTAAATCAAAGGCCAAGGCGTTGCGACACTTCAAAGTCGACCCTGTCTTAAAAATTGATGAGACTTTTTGTAAGCAGCTGCTGAATCTATGTACGTGTTCACTTTACATTGTGCAGAATATTTTGTACACGTAACACACTGTAAACCACAATATGTAAGCCCTAAAGCAAAGATATTCCAGGATTTTGCCAAATACTCATTTTAAATTGAAGGTCCAAGAAGGACATTGTCGTTTTAAAATGAAAACGTTCAAGGCTCCAATCAAGTATGTCGACTTGGTGATGTAAATCCAAAGTCCAAGGGTTTGCGACTTTTCAAAGTCGATGCAGTCTTAAAATCTAATTTATAACTTTCATAGTTCTCTAGATTTCTGTGAACAGTGTAGAACTAAAGTTGAATAAACACAGAAACCCAGAAATATAACATTATTGTTTATATTTCGGTGAGAGGAACATAGGTTCCTTTAAGAGACAATTAAACCAGGAAACTACGGTACAAAAAGAATTCGGTATATTCGAAAGCATTTCTTATTCCGAACATTAGAAATACCTTCGAAAAGTTCGATATCAAAGGGGCGGTTAGCTTAATTACCCCCCCCCCCCCATCTAAAGATCCGTTTCCCAAGGGTACCCAAAATCTCTGTCTGGTCCAGTATGAATCAGATATGAATATAATTTTGAAAACTGAATGTGGTTTACGCAACGAAAGTGACGTTTACAGTCCCTTTAAGAGCATGAATAAATCAATTTGGGCCGGTATGAGAATTACGCCTTTTTTTGGCCATAGCACTCCCTTTTTTGCCCTAGCACTCTCATTTTTGTCCTAGCACTCCCATATTTTCCCTAACACTCCCATGTTTGCCATAACACTCCCATTTTTGCCCTAGCACTCCCATTTTTGCCCTAACACTCCCATGTTTGCCATAACACTCCCATTTTAGCCCTAGCACTCCCATATTGGCCCTAGCACTCCCATATTTTCCCTAGCACTCCCAATTTTTCCCTAGCACTCCCATTTTAGCCCTAGCACTCCCATATTTACCCTAGCACTCCCATTTTTGCCCTACACCCATATTTTCCCTAGCACTCCCATTTTTGACACTATCACCTTGAAATATTTAGACTTTTAGGGAATGGTAATTATAAGGACTGTTGTAAAAAATTGTCTTTTACATTTTTCCGACCTTTTTTGACTCTTTTTTTTAACCTCTCTAGCATCCAAACTATTAAAGTTAGCGGTCTAATTTTTTTAATGAGCTGGCCTTAAATAAATTTAACAATAAACGTGCATTGAAATCCTATATCTTTCCTCTAAGGCCTTTTATGGGGGGGGGCGTGCGACCCCCCCCCCCCACAGGCTATTCATAGATTCGGACCCCCAGCCTTTATAAGGTTAAATACTATACCTAAATCATTAAATGTTTTCCATTTTAATTGGAAAGACAATTGTTCCCTACATTTTTTTAAAACCTAAGACCTGTTCCGGGTAAGTGATGTACAAAGTTATTAATATTTATTTAACATTTATTATTTAGATTAACAAATTTATGACGAGACAAATATTTATTTTTGTTAGTGGATATTTTGATCACTTTATGCTTGTTAAAATAAGACCTTATTCATTTTCTGTTACATAATTCTTTTGATATAGATATGGCCGGCTTGTATCTTTTTTTCAACAGAGATTGTGCTTGCTAAAGTAAACTTTAAAATTTGGGAAAATGTTGAAAATTTTTGATAAAAATGAAATGGATAAATCTTGTTTTAGTCCATTCTATAGGATTATTGCTGCCCACCAAACTTCGGAGCAGAATATTTTAACCTCAAATTTTATATATTTTGTTTTGACAGATAAAATGGTACTTTACTTTATTCTACCTCAGCGCCGTTGCCCTGCCGATTGTTTTAAAGATTTCAGAACTTTTTTAAAAGAGGCTTTTAAAAAATAAATTGCTGAAAAAAAATAGAGTCTTTGCAACAAACTCTAATTTTTTAATCCTATCATCTTTGCAACCTAATCACGGCGGTCTATGGGTCAATTTGAATTTGAACTGGGCCAACTCCCTGCACCGCAACCTTGGTGACGCGCGGCAAGTACTTCCCCGCCTCTATCCTATGTCGGCCCGGTTTTACAGTATACCTTTCCTATCATGGGCCTATTTCACCTACCAGACTATCTTAGTTTACTGTGCAATGTCGAAGACCTTAGATATTTCAAACTATGAATTTTGTTACATCAAAAAATCCAGGTTTGATATATCTAAAGTTTACACCATCAGGTTATGAAGATATTGGGATTATAAAATTTAAGTTCTTGACAAAGACTCAATTTCTTTTGACATTTATTGTTTTGATTTGTAGAGATTTTAATATGAAACCTCCTCAAGAAATGCAATAATTGTATTAACCAATAAAATGTTCCTGCAGTGTGCAGTATGAAAAGTTTTTGTCAGGTTAAATCTTTTGAAATTAATTTTTTATCAAAACTTAATTCTAATGATTACCCGTGTGGATCGAAGAAGTAGGTGTCATAAGTACGAAATAGATTAAATTCTAATAAAAATCTCTCCAAAATTTAAGAAAAAAATCTTTCCAACATATAATTGAAAACTCAAAAAAATAGCCATTACTTAAAATTTTTTGAGCGATAGATACATATTGTTGGTCAGGAGTAGTGTAAAGGGGGTTTACTGTCAGGGGGTAACTTTTGTGCTTAATATTTATAAATCCGATACCTTGATCTCAATATCCTCTGTGGTCACTTTTATTTTGAGGATCAATAAAAAACGAGACCTTTCCATATCTTTATTTTACTTATTCCTTCCTGCAGGTTCGATCTAAAGTAAGAACTTTTTTGTATCGTTAATCTTGAACGTTTGGTCCCGATATCCGATGTGGACACTTTTAATTTAGGGATCAATGCTTGATTCCTTAATTTTATTTTTTACATCCCCCCTCTGCTCTGTCCCTGATGGAGCATGAAAGCCAAGCCCATTGTGATCAAAGATTGACTAGAGTAAGGTATTTTCTATTGAATTAAACAGGAGATGTTTCTAAAGATAGATTGCACTCTGTCTAAAACTGTTTATAAAATAAACCCCCTGTCCAAGTTTTTCGACACACACATTGTTTAAGTCTATTTTTAAAGAAAATGGTAAAACATTTTTTTTATTTCTTGAAAGGATCTCTAAAGAAAGATGGATCCAGTGGCTGTGACAGGTGATTTTATGTGACCCTAATAAGTTTTGCAGTGTTATGGTCTAGATTCACAACAGTACCTTTAAAAACATTGTTTAGTAAATCCATGAAATAAATTGTTTTCAAATTGTTTAATTGCACTCATCCTATCAGACATGAGGGAAACAAAGTATGTTAACAGTATAACACTGGTAACGGTTTTTACTCTGACAGCTGTGAAGACTGGACTATTGTGGTAGATTCCGCCGGATCAACTCATCATTTTGCAAAGGTGGTGCAACTATAATGTGGGAAGACTTTAAAATGAAGGAAAGAAGGGATCTTCTTCTGAAATTCCTCATACCCTGCCTCCTCCAAACTTCCTTATCTCTTAACTCTCCTGTTCCATAACTCGATGTCATAAAGAACCACTCGGAGATGCCTCAGAGTAAAAACAAGAAGAAATTAATAAACTAATTTAGAGAAAACGGTGGCTCCCCCCGTATGTATAAAATGCTTTTTCTTCGACTACGAAATGTGCACCCTTCAGAAGGTGGGTGGTGAGGTTAGTAAAGGTCGAAGAGTGTTAAAGGGAGTGTTCGCGAAAAATGAAAGGGGGTATAGGCTCAATGCGATAAAAAGCGCTTTTGATCGCTACTAATCTTTTATAATATCTTTTAATTACTATGTTTTGAATTTGATTATTTCTCTTGTCGCTTGCGCAACTATCTAAGAATGCCGCGCACCACTCACATTTTTCGAAATCCGTTAAAACGTTTTCTAAAAAAATAAAATATTACAAAGTATAAACTATATACAAATGTGGCGAATGATAATCGATGACTATAGGTTGTAATATCTGAATGTTTTGTTTAAAATTAAATTGATTTTTTATGGTCTAAGTCGTATGTTGCAATTTCCTCAATTTGTATGGGCGCTAAGTTATTCGGTATCAGACGTCTTTAACAATTTTCTCCTTATAGACGCCACAGATAGAAGTAAGATTAGTAGCGATCCAAAGCGCTTTTTTATCGCATTAAGCCTATACCCCCTTTAATTTTTCGCGAACACTCCCTTTAAGAATGCCAGAAAAAAGCTTAAAACAATTGATTTAATGAGAATCAATACCCATATTGTATACCAGGCGCAAAGAATAATCAAAGAGTGGGGATGGGGTCTCTCTAAAAACAGACGGTAGTTGGGGTAGTAAGGGTAGTTGCCATTCAGATTCAGCTTCAAGGGTGGGGCAACTACCCTCACCTTTGAAGCAGAATCTGACGGTAGTTAGGGTAGTTGGGTTTAACTACCCCAACTATTATCTGTTTTTAGAAAGACCCCACCCTCACCCTTGAAGCTGACTCTGAATGGGAACTACCCTTACTACCCTAACTACCGTCTGCTTTTAGAAAGACCCCACCCTCACCCTTGAAGCTGACTCTGTATGGGAACTACCCTCACTACCCCAACTACCTTCAGTTTTTAGAAAGACCCCATCCCCACTCTGGGTTTATTCTATCGCATGGTATACAATATGGGTATCGATTCTCATTAAATCAATTGTTTTAAGCTTGTTTCTGGCATTCATAACACTCTCCGACCTTTACTATCCTCACCACCCACCTTCTGAAGGGTGCACATTTCGTAGTCAAAAAAAAGGCATTTTATACGTACTCAGTTCAACTACCTTACATAGCTGCTCTGTCCCTTTAAAACTTACGCTGGGTAATTGGATTTTGACTTAGGACAAATTTCATGAGAAACACTATCTCCCAAAGCAGTCTCTGTGCATATATAAAGATATTTTTTTCCAGTATAAGGCCCTTAACTTAATCAGGGAAAAATATGAATGATAATTGGCACCACAGTTTTTGTTTGACCTTAATTGACCCCAGGGAAGGTTTATTTAGAATTGAATTCTAACAAAATTTGATTTTTAATAATTTTAAAAATCCACGAGATTTTTTTTTAAAAAACTGCAAATTTTTGTTTTTTGTTGTTACAATTTAATCAAAAAGAAAAGGTTAAAAATGAAATAGAAGATGGGCGCGAAGCGCCCTAAAAGCTAGTGATGAATATTCTTCAAATCAATGCAACTAAGTTTCCAGGGCACAGGTGGCTGATCATCACGGATTTTTCATATTGGTGGATTTGCTATCTAAGCTGTTTAAAAAGTCTAAATTTATAATGGACAACCTTCAGGGTATAAATTAAGAAAGTTGGTAAAGGAAGCCTTTTATTTGACAGTGTATGTTAATCCCATAGATAAAGATAGATTGCGCATAAGACGACATTTTTCATCTTGAAAGATATAAATGTACAGAGATGTTTTAAAGATATTCCTATTATATAGATTAACTAGGTCGGTTGTGAACATTGGCTGTTCTTATGTCATTGAGTACTTGTGGTGTACATGAGTTCTGTAGAGAGAGATTTAAGTTAGTTTAGTCTTTCTCATATCCTTCTTCAGTTCTCGTCAATATAATATATTGCTCAGTGAAATATTGTTGTTCAAATAGTTCCATTCCCGAAGTTATTTTACACTCTATTATGAAATCCATTAAAACACCAAACCACCCCGCTTATCATTGAAGTACACTTTAACCCCTAGAAGTATGAGTTCGCGGACTGTACAATTCTTGGTGATTTTGCGTACATAAGCTATCTATGTTTATTTTTTTATCTATGGGTTAATCCCAGAAATGATTGGGAAGTTGAAATAAAACCAAGCTAAAACCCATAATTTGATATACATCATGAATAACCCCATTCATACATGGTCATGTTGAAGAAACTGGTCTTATATACTTTGTAATTGGTATTCAAGGAGGGTTTAGATATATATATATATATATATATTCGGATTTAAAGAAATCTAGATGTGCTTGGTGCATATCATTTGATACTTGATACCATACAATATAATATAATCAAGGGAATATTCTTTTCTACTTCTGACTCACGTGAAACTAAATTAAATATAAAAAGATTGAAATAAATTTTATGTGTTTTTAATTAATATTTTTCTTTTCGAAGAGAGCTACTGAGAAAAACAAAAATTTTAAATTTCTTATATTTTAAATTTCCAATATTGGAAATTTAAAATATTGCAATATGTAACCGGAATAATTTGTTCTCATACTTGCAGTACTTGCCCAAATTCTTACTATATTACGTTGCATACATTGACTTTCTCCTTCTGTCTAGTTTGCAGTGTGCTCAAATTCTTACTAATTACGAAGCATACTTTGGCTTTCTCTTTCTGTCTGGTTTGAAGTGTGCTCAAATTCTTACTATATTACGTAGCATACATTGTGGCTTTCTCCATCTGTCTAGTTTGCAGTGTGCTCAAATATTACATAGCATAAATTAGCTTTCTCCTTCTGTCTAGTTTGCAGTGTGCTCAAATATTACGTAGCATAAATTAGCTTTCTCCTTCTGTCTAGTTTGCAGTGTGCTCAAATATTACGTAGCATAAATTAGCTTTCTCCTTCTGTCAGTTTGCAGTGTGCTCAAATATTACGTAGCATAAATTAGCTTTCTCCTTCTGTCAGTTTGCAGTGTGCTCAAGTTTTCTTGCTCTAGTGCACGATTCCAATTATGTAAAGCGAAGGTGCTAATTAATACTTAGTGTCTCACGTTTCTAAGATAATTGAAAGAACATGATTGTTTTTTCTTAATTAGACACTTTATATTATAATACGCATCAGTTCTATTTTCGATTGAAAATAGTGATTTTTTACAGAATTCAACGTTTTTAATTTATTTTACAGTTTTGAAAACTAAAAGTAATATTTTTACTGAACACCACTGTCCACTAGCCCATGGGACAAAAGTAAATAATCTGCATCTGTTGCTTAATCAAAAATTCTGGTTTTTTTCAAAGTATATTTATTTTTCCATTTTATATTTTCTGTCTAATTCTAGGGAGTGGCGGTTCCTTTGATTGCTGCTTTCGGGATAACAGGTCATTTTTTCTAATTCTTTTTCCTTTGGTTATATCCGTCTATTTTGTGACAATTAAATGATGGTATCCGCTATTCATGCTTTATAACTATTTTCTATATGAAAAATATTTCCAGTCTGCCCTAGCCGCAGAAGCCTAACCTAACTCAAAATAATGTGATGAGGATTTTTCTCAAAGAAAAAATGTCTCAAAGCAAAAATTAAGTTATCAAAAATGAAGCTGGTAAAAATAACACTGGTAAAAATGTTGCATTATTATAACTAGATACTTAATATAAGATATATAGAACATTAAATATATTTAAAATAATGGCTTCCATTGTGATATTAATCCTGGTTAATAAAGTTTTGTCCTAGCTGCAATTTATCCTAATTTATAGTATTCACAGGAAACCAACTCAACAGAAGGATTTGCATATTTGGAAATATTCCGCAAAATCTAAAGTATTCTTTGGTAGCAAAGCAATGTAATTATATCAAAGTGTTTTGTTGCAATGATTATTCTTCCATTATTGATCATCTCAAATTTTAAAGTTTTGAACTATCTAAAATCCGCAATTCGATGAATATTTGGTTTGGTTGTGACTAATTTCTTTTTAGGGAACGTGTTTTGTGTGTTTGTTTTCACACAGAAAAGTGTAGAACTTAAACCATGTTTCTCAAACATTCTCAAATGCCTCTCCATCTTTGATTCATTATTTTTGGTAAGATGTTTTTGAAGCGATCATTAAAACTTAAAATTTAAATATTTTTTTCGATTTCTTGACTTACTCAGATAAAAAAAAATACAATAAAACGGCTAAACTGGATCGGACCTCGTTTTTTTTTAATTTTCGACAAAGGAATTGAGTCGTTGCCACAAACTCGGATTTTCTAATCACCATATCTTTGGAACCAAATAATTTAGACCTTGGATATTTCAAACTATGAGTTCTGTTAAATGAAATAATTTCAGTTTGAAATATTAAAGATTTACAACATCGGGTTCTAAAGATATAGGGGCTTCAATATTTGAGTTTGTGGCAAAGACTCAATTCCTTTTCTAACCGAAAAAGTTGACCTTTCGTCCCAAACTCAAATTCTGTAATCCCCATATCTTTGCAACCTAAATATTTTAACCCTGAATTGTTTGAAATAAATATATACCTAAGGTCTACATCATTAGGTTGCATAGATATAGGGATTAGAAAATCAGATAATGTGGCAAAGACTCAATTTCTTTAAAACATACCAATGATAATTGTAATTGTACGTAAACCAGTTTTTTTGAATAAATCTTTTTAATGAAAATAATAATATTCTCGATAATTTCTAAATAAAATTGGGAAAATTTCAGATTTTCTAAATTTTCTTTTCATAATTTATATCTCTTTACTATTTATCTCTCTTTACTATTTATCTCTCTTTACTCTTTATCTCTCTTTACTATTTATTACTATTTATCTCTCTTTACTATTTATCTTACTATTTATCTCTCTTTACTATTTATCTCTCTTTACTATTTATCTCTGTTTACTCTTTATCTCTCTTTACTATTTATCTCTCTTTACTATTTATCTCTAATAATTCTGAGCTTGAATAATTATATATTTTTAGTTTTTCTTACATTTCTTATATTCTTTTATCAACCCTACGATAAACTATTAAAAGAAAATACAATAAGAAACAAAAAGATGACAATTAATTGTAAATATGAGACAGAAAGTAGATACTCTGTATAATGGTTAAACAATACAAAATACTTATTATTCACATAATTTTCCGTTAAACCTAACCCACTTATTTTGGACACTGACCTGGAAACTTCTGGATATTTTAAGAACCTGAGCTGAAATCTTTAGAATGTGATATCCTTAATCCCGGTCTGTTGACTTTTCTGGAGTTTAAATTCATGTGGAGAACAAGCAATATTTAAACTGGATATTAATTTAAGGAACGTATTAAGCATTAATCCTGATATCCACCATTCTAAAGTTTTCAGCTCAGTAGTGTTAGACATTTTTGTCATTTTCGGCATTTGGACATACAGACATAAAGTTTTCATTTTTAAAAGCCATTGAAAAATAAATGGTATGATTTGTCTAAAAGAGAAATTTATTATTTCAAATTTTTCAACATTTTCCCCCTTTTTTAAAAATTCTATATCCGTAGCATCCTAACTATTAAAGACTTTATAGTGGTCAAATAATTTGTAATGACCCGGCCTTCAAAAAGTTGGTCAAAACATGTTTTGCACCTGTTTTATATGGGGGGNCCTACCAGCCATTTTATACACCCTGTATAACTTGTTGACTGAACTATCTATACATGAACTTATAGATAATTAGTGCCAGATGACCGAGCGCACACACACACACTCACGTCTTGTCACGGCGACATGCCTTGCACAATTTTGAGGTTTTTACAAACAGAAGTTAAAATCCAAGCTTGCAAAAATGTAGTTAATGATTCATATAAAACAAAATTTTATTTAGTTTGAATTCTAAATGTCCATAAAAAATCATTGAATAGTGAATTTTTTATTTTTCATAATATGAAAATGATGGTTTTTGTCCTAAGAAATGTGTTTTTGGATTTCTTTAAAACTTAGTAATACCATTACCTTACTCTCAGGTCTAATGTATGCATTCAAAATTAATGTTAAAGTTAGCAAGATACATTTTAAATTCACTTTTTTATTTAATTCTCTACAAAAACAAAAACAAAAAAGTTGAATATTGCAATATATATATACTAGCCTTAGAGGGCGCTTCGCGCCCATCTTCTAAATTAATTGTGAACATGTTCTCTTTGTGTACATCGTAAATCAAAACAAAAATAATTCGCGATTTGTGTACATCGTAAAACAAAACAAAAATAATTCGCGGATTTTTACAAAAAATTTCGTGGATTTTCAAAATTTTCAAAAATTTAATGAATATCAAATTTTGATGGAGACAAATATTTGAAATTTTGATCATTCATAAACCTTCCCTGGAGTCACGAGATGCCCCACAAAAAAATTAGGCCCGATCGGTTCAGCCGTTTTGACGTTTATTGGATACAAACAGACAAACAAACAAACAAACACCCAGACAAGCCAAATTTATATATAGATATAGACTGTCTTATCATAAATGTAGTATAATTCACAGTTTGAAATATCATAGAACTACAGCATCAAGTTGAAAAGATATAAAGAAAATTGGAGTTTGAGTCAAGTGTTTCTTTCTTTTCAGCGATGAATTTAATGGTCGGGGGAGGGGGGGCGTGGAAGGGGGGGGCTTCGTATTAGCAATCAACAATTATCAAGATGTGTATTAAAACTTAGATATATTAAAGTAGAGTATGCTTGCATAATCAAACTGGTATGAGGGCCGATGAAGGCACCAGCAGGATTTCTTTTAATTAAGTTCTTTGATTAAAAAAAAACTTAACTTTTATCTAAAAATGCAGCTTTACGCGGGAATCTTAATTAAGGTTTTTTTATAAAAGAAAAAATGAAAGAGTTTCTTTATGAGAAAAAGGTTATTAATTTTTCAATCTAAAACTGACTACTGCAGATACGGTTACTTCTCCTTGAGAGACAAGCAGATAATTGTCTAGAAGGAGGAAACAAATAAATAGTTTTAACCCTAATGGTTGAAGAGAGGCGTATTTCAGCCAAAAACTTTTCTTTTTCCAGATGGTTGAAGCCTTTTTTGATTTTATTTTTAACCAGAGCCCAAACCAAAGAAACGAAAACCCTTGAAAAAAAATATGCTCTTTGCAAAAATTCTCGACTAGCTTCCTTTAACCAGAAGGAGTTTAAATGATTTTATACCTTGGAAAAGAATATTTCGAAATAAATGTTAAAATATCAAATTAAACCAATGCAGCTGGGGGGATATTTTAGTTATAAACTTAAAAAGGAAAATTTTACCCCATATATTTGGGTTTCAGGAAATGTTCATCCATGGATTAAAAAAAAAAAGTTCATCCAACGTTGAAATCTCTTGTATTAAATACTCTTAATCCAGATTGCTAAATATCTGTATTGACCTAAATCATCTCTTTCTCCCTGCTGGATCCCGACCAATGAGAGTTATGTCATCACTATATCACTTAAACATAATAATCAATATAAGAATCCTATGAATTAAAAATTTACCTTTTCTTCAGCAAAATTTACTTCTATAACCGATTTCTTCTTTTGATTTTAAAGGAAGAAATGTTCAGAAGAGAATTCTAAAAAGTTTCTTTTCAATCAATTGTTATATTCCGCCTTTGTGAAAATTTCTTAAACATTTTATACATAAAATCTTTACAATATTATTAAAATTTTGGTAATAATTAAACAAAAGCATTCTAAATGTTTTTTTGGAAACAAAAGACAACAATTTTGCCAATTCGGTTCAGCCGTTATGAGGCTCTATTGATTTACCTGACATGGCATAAAACAAAATAAACATACAATGCATGTCTGACTAGAGTAATTTATTGCTGGAAAAAGGTTGCATTCACCTTCATAAAACATGCAATGTAAAAATTTGCGAAATGGTATCAAAACAAAAGAATTAGATTAAGTTGTTATACTTATAATAAATCTTCGTTTTTTCGTGATATTATTCTGGGGAAATACAATTCCAAAACTGAACCAAAAAAAATGAGTAAATTTATTATATATTTTTTTCTCCATTTTTAATTCAGGTCTTGTAAGAAACTACTAAGATAGAATTGTATCGATATTAGGAAAACGATATGAAAAGCAAATAGTCAATATTTATCAATTATTTGATTCACTTTCTTCTTCAGAATCAAGATCTGCTTTTACATAGAAAGTGTCAAAATGATTAGTACAACTTTTCAACCCCGTATCTTCTTTAGTTTTAATTTTTTGAATGAGAAACTCAGAAAAACATATTTTATTTTCTCTGAATGTTAGGAAATCAAAACTTTTTTATTCGTCTCACTGGCGCGCTCAAAAAAAGGGTTTATAATTGAAAACATGAAAAATTAATTTGACTTTTTTCTTATAAAATTTGAGGACAAATAAGATTTCAAAAATTTGAAAAACATTTTAAATGAATTTATATTTCATTTTTTCTAGCTTGGAGTGACCCTTCTCTACCCTCTACCAATACTGTCTGAAACCTACAGTAATTTTGAACCTAATGTTACCCCATACATTCTACCATTCACACAGATAGCGCTTACAGGTAGGGACGGGAATCATTTATAAAAACGAAGGAAAAAACGAGAATTTTTCTTCGGTTCGTTTTTACTTTTCAAAACAAACGAACTTTTGTTTTTAGAAAGAAAAAAAAAGAAGAATAAAACCAACGAACTGATAGTTTTAAAAACGACAACATGTTTTTTAAATTAAAAGTATTGTTTACGACAGAAATGACCTTCTGGTAAACCTCAATTTATCACAAAGTATGTTTGACAAAGCGCGGGTAAACTCCCGACGTCAATGTTTTTTTCATCCATTAAATGAAGATTTCCGTATTTGCTAGTTGATACTATTTTGTTGGATCGTGTATTTGAAATATTTAAGCTTGCCTTTTACACTATTTTTAACTTATTTCGAAAATTTTTCAAATGAAAATGGACACTTTTTTAATAAAGCGGTTTTGTTTTTTAATCATACCCATTACTCAATTTGAAGGATTTCAGGAAAATAAATTAAAAATAAGGTTAAAGATTATTTTTGCTATTTCCGATAAGTTTAATGACATTCATGCAGTTGGAAACTTTGTTCAAAGTCTGAATAACTCTGCAAATTGTTCTGCGGCTGCTAGATTAATTTTGGATAAAATCATAGATATATGAATTTACTTGGATTGGAAAGCAAATTGACAGAACAGAAAATGCGTCTTGGAATGTCAGATAGTATGCATGCCGTGTCGGTACGACTAGTATGGCCTATCTAGCTTGGCGTATATGATTCAAAGGCTGACGCATGCCCCTCAAGAGTTTGTATATCCTTGTAGCACGAATTGTATACATTGAGAAGACGTCGATTTGCTGACCGTATTTACGGAAGTTTATGTAAAGGAAATAGATTATCAAGTAAATAGGTGGCAACAGAGAAATGGACCATTATACACGACGTGACAAGTGTCAAATATAACAAGGAAAACAACATTTTCTCACATTAGATGACATGTTTTCAAAATTTAATAAAAAAGTGTAAAAACAGAAAATAATGAACACAGAAAATTGCACTTATATTACTGAAAAATAAGCACTTTTTATAAAATGATCACTATTATGAAAAAAATGTTGGGACACAAAAACTGAATTTACACTTGTGTGACGTAAGAATACAGCTGCACTAAGAGTGTACAAATTCTACGTTGCCATCTATTGTACTAGAATATATTTGATGTAAATGGTTACCCACAGAGGATGAGACATGCAGAGACGACAGTAAAGTATTTATGGAAACCTTGTTCTCACATCTTGGTTCTCTGGAACTTGAAACTTTTTTTTTAAATTCTGAATAAAATGATTGAAAGGATATATTTTAAAAAATTCAGATTCGCTTTAAATCATGATTTTTACGTCGACATTAAAGTCTCATCTTTTGTGGGTAACCCGGTATCATGAATTGCACAGGTAACTTCTTTAATATTTTAGGAAGTGTATATAGTGTACTTGCTGTTGCTTTGGAGAGATACTTCACGATTTGTCGACCTTTTCAGTATAATCTGGTAGGTGGTTGAAATATATACCTTTTCAGTATAATCTGGTAGGTGGTTGAAATATATACCTTTTCAGTATAATCTGGTAGGTGGTTGAAATATATACCTTTCCAGTATAATCTGGTAGGTGGTTGAAATATATACCTTTTCAGTATAATCTGGTAGGTGGTTGAAATATATACCTTTTCAGTTAAATCTGGTAGGTGGTTGAAATATATACCTTTCCGGTATAATCTGGTAGGTGGTTGAAATATATACCTTTTCAGTATAATCTGGTAGGTGGTTGAAATATATATTTTTCCAGTATAATCTGGTAGGTGGTTGAAATATATACATTTTCAGTATAATCTGGTAGGTGGTTGAAATATATACCTTTTCAGTATAATCTGGTAGGTGGTTGAAATATATACATTTTCAGTATAATCTGGTAGGTGGTTGAAATATATACATTTTCAGTATAATCTGGTAGGTGGTTGAAATATATACATTTTCAGTATAATCTGGTAGGTGGTTGAAATATATACCTTTTAAGTATAATCTGGTAGGTGGTTGAAATATATATACCTTTTAAGTATAATCTGGTAGGTGGTTGAAATATATACCTTTTAAGTATAATCTGGTAGGTGGTTGAAATATATATACCTTTTCAGTATAATCTGGTAGGTGGTTGAAATATATACCTTTTCAGTATAATCTGGTAGGTGGTTGAAATATATACCTTTTCAGTATAATCTGGTAGGTGGTTGAAATATATAAACCTTTTCAGTATAATCTGGTAGGTGGTTGAAATATATAAACCTTTTCATTATAATCTGGTAGGTGGTTGAAATATATACCTTTTCAGTTTAATCTGGTAGGTGGTCAGTAAAAGATTAAGTGTTTTTCAAAGGGGGTTTGAAGTAGGTAGAGGCTAAGCATTGAATTAATTATTAATCAATTGGCACGATTTTTATGTCTATTTTCAGATATAAAAAAATATTTCTTATCGATTTTTAATTATATTATGGTTTAATTTCAGTATTTGTTTTCTTATAAATATGTTCAGTTCTGATGATATAAACATATTTATATTTTCTCTAAGTTGGTTCTTTCGTTTTCCTATTTTTTTAAGGATATAAATATTGCAAAGTTTGATAAAGGCAAGAAATGTTGGAAGTTTTATCTAAAGTTTAAAAACGAACCAAAACGACTTACATCAATACTGTCGCAAAATAGAAATTCGAAAAATACAAGTTGGCTTTTTGTCAAAATTTGGGCACTTGAACATTAGAAATTCAGAAAATACAAGTTGGCTTTTGTCAAAATTTGGTTCTTTAACATTAGAAATTCGGAAAATACAAGTTGGCTTTTGTCAAAATTTGGTCCCTTTAACATTAGAAATTCGGAAAATACAAGTTGACTTTTTGTCAAAATTTTGGCCCTTTAACATTAGAAATTCGGAAAATACAAGTTGACTTCTTGTCAAAATTTGGTCACTTTAACATTAGAAATTCGGAAAATACAAGTTGGCTTTTTGTCAAAATTTGGGCACTTCATTAGAAATTCGGAAAATACATAATAGCTCTTTGTCAAAATTTGGTCCCTTAAACATTAGAAATTCGGAAAATACAAGTTATTTTTTGTCAAAATTTGGGCACTTTAACATTAGAAATTTGGAAAATACAAGTTGTTTTTGTCAAAATTTGATCACTTTAATATTAGAAATTCGGAAAATACAAGTTGGCTTTATTTCAAAATTTGGTCACTTTAACATTAGAAATTCGGAAAATACAAGTTGTTTTTGTCAAAATTTGATCACTTTAATATTAGAAATTCGGAAAATACAAGTTGGCTTTTTGTCGAAATTTGGGCACTTCATTAGAAATTCGGAATATACAAATAGCTCTTTGTCAAAATTTGGTCCCTTAAACATTAGAAATTCGGAAAATACGAGTTATTTTTTGTCAAAAGTTGGGCACTTGAACATTAGAAATTCAGAAAATACAAGTTGTTTTTGTCAAAATTTGGTCACTTTGATATTAGAAATTCGGAAAATACAAGTTGGCTTTTGTAAAAATTTGGTCCCTTTAACATTAGAAATTCGAAAAATACAAGTTGACTTCTTGTCAAAATTTGGTCCCTTGAATATTAGAAATTCGGAAAATACAAGTTGACTTCTTGTCAAAATTTGGTCACTTTAACATTAGAAATTCGGAAAATACAAGTTGACTTCTTGTCAAAATTTGGTCCCTTTAACATAATAAATTAAAAGTTTTTGCTGTGGATATCGAGTTCAGACCCCACCCCCCTGGTCGAAAAAATGAATTTATGATCAGCCATATGATCGTCGAAGAAAGGTTCCCCCATCCCTCCCTCCTTATTATGGTTGAATAGTGTATGAAGTGTAGCAGCTGCCAAATATTATCTATCTATTAACTATATATCTATATATCTTCTATTACTGCAACAAAACAAAACAATGAGAATGAAAATGAATATTCCAATATTCTATTTCCCAGCAAGATGTTCTGTCCAATTTTTGGATAAATTATACCCATAGCTGTCTTCTACACACACAATGGGATTTTAGTTTTCCTTCTAATATCATCTTTCATCTGCGGGCCGTGTGAAATATTCTGCATTCGTGGCATCAAAAAGATATACCAGAGCCCAAAATTTACGAGAGTTTTGTGAAACGAAACTACAGAGTATCCTTTTTGGGGGGTCTGAATATTTGTGTAGATTTTGGGGGGTCTGAATATTTGTGTAGATTTTGACTCAAGAAATTAGAAAAAAGAGAGATTACAGTTATTACAAATACTTTTTTGAAGATTTAAACCATAATGGTTGTTAATCCTATAACAATATTTTTATTAATACTGGATTTCCTTATTTTGACTAATAATAATAAGGGCTTTCCTGGTTTTAAATATAATATGTGTTTTCATGGTTTTAATCTCATTTCTAACACAGTGCAAACTTTACATAGATCTGATTGAGGATGTTCCTTGTGGATATTATTTAAGCTATGAGATTTAGATAAAAAGAATTTCACTGATTGATTGTAATTGAACATTATAATCTGTACAGTTGTACACAAAATACTTTTTTGACATTTTTTTATTTAAAATTGAAGGGACTGTAAGCACGGTTTCATGTGACCCTCCACACACCGGACTAACCAGAGTAAGAGGCATTTGGTTTCTTCTATTTGAAATCATACGCAGTTTGGTCTATAATTAAACAATCTTTAAACTTACGGATTTGTTTGTTTTACACTTCTTATTCAAAATGTATATGCCGATTGCCGACAAAAATGTATTTTTTAAAAAAGGCTAAAAAAGTATGTTTAATGCGACAAATTGTGATCAAAAGTCACAGTTTTCTGGAATATTGACAGAACCGTTAAATCCACGTGTCCATGCTAAAATGACAATGCCAGATTTACAATAGTACTCTTAAAAGCTTTGTCTGATCAAGAATGAATTAGATATCTTCTAAATCTTTATCAGATTATTAAAGGTTTTAAGGGTACCTTTGTAAATCGAGTGTTGCCATCTTAGCATGGAGGGTCATATGAAAATATGCTTACAGTCCCTTTCAGAGAATGGTCATTCGGGATGGTCCTAAAAATTTTCAAGGATCTCAAAAAAAATGACCAGAGATGAAAACTTTAGAATGGGATATCCTTAATCCCGATCGCTAAATTAATCTGGAGATTAAAAACAAGAAGAGAACAAGCATTATTTAATCTGGAGATTAAGAAAAAGAGTGGATCAAGCAATAATCCCGATATCCATCATTCAAAAGTTCCCAGCTCAGTTGACATACTTTCAAGTGACTCTTTATTGCCATGTCAGAAAATATTATTTATTTATTATTCCTTTAAGATTAAATATAAGATGATATTATTACGTTGACAGTCTCTTTAACAAGATATATCAAACCTTTAAGATTAAATATAAGATGATATTATTACGTTGACAGTCCCTTTAACAAGATATATCAAACCCGTAACTTAATTTTTCCACCAGATTTTTCTGTCTTACCCTTTATTTTATTTTTCTAAATTTAAAATATTGATTATTTTAATAAACCTTCTTGTCCTATGCCTAAAAATATTCAATTTTAATACAAGTATATTTATTTATTGATCCATTTTAAACTCTTTAAACTTTGCCAATAGAATAGCTAAAAGTATAATTTTTGAACATTATTATTTATTTACGCATTATTTAATATATTTTTTATTTTGATCGTTTTAAATCTATTTGTTAAATTTTGGCTGGATGGTTTCAAGATCTAATCTTAAAGATTTTCAAATTAAGTTCTCAGATGAAATTGAGTTTAATTTAATTTGAAATTACATTTACGATTCTTCTTCAAGACTGCAGTTACTTACTCAATATAAAACCTTGAAATTTATCTACTAAATAAAGCTCTTCGCTAATTCGCTATTGCTGACCAAACGGCTGAACCAAATTGCCAGGGAAATTTTGATGTAACCCATGAGTACCCCGGGGGTGACAAAGGCTAAAAATAATTATTATATTCTTTAAATTTCATGAGCAACCCGGGCAATGCTAAAATCAAGCTGAAAGACCAAGCGCGGGTTAACGGCGGGAGTAACTGTGAGTAACCTGGGCAATGCCGGGCAATACAGCTAGTATGTCATATTAATAGTTCTCCTGTACCTGGGTCGCCAAGTGTCTGATATTAAGGGTTTAGGACGAGTAATCAGTTTCTTTTTCCAAGTTTTCCTGCCAACAAAATGTAGTTTTGGCACAATGAATTTTTACCACCTGTGGTTTTCTAAACTAGCTGTTTAAAGGTTATAAATTGTCCTTATCTGTTTCTAAACTAGCTATTTAAAGGTTATAAATTGTCCTTATCTGTTTCTAAACTAGCTGTTTAAAGGTTATAAATTTTCCTTATCTGTTTCAAAACTAGCTGTTTGAAGGTTATACATTTCCTTATCTGTTTCTAAACTAGCTGTTTAAAGGTTATAAATTGTCCTTATCTGTTTCAAAACCAGTTGTTTAAAGGTTATAAATTTCCTTATCTGTTTCTAAACTAGCTGTTTAAAGGTTATAAATTTCCTTATCTGTTTCTAAACTAGCTGTTTAAAGGTTATACATTTTCCTTATCTGTTTCTAAACTTTATAAATTTCCTTATCTGTTTCTAAACTAGTTGTTTAAAGTTTATAAATTGTCCTTATCTGTTTCTAAACTAGCTGTTTAATGTTTATAAATTTTCCTGATCTGAGTCTTCTGATTCACCAATACTTGTGAAAAGAACATATTGCGCCTCAGGAAGAAAGAAAATTAGAATTCTTGTATTTTATGTATCATTCATTCTTGTATCCTTGTATCCTTGTATCCTTGTATCCTTGTATCATTCATTCTTGTATCCTTGTATCCTAGTATCCTTGTATCATTCATTCTTGTATCCTTGTATCACTGTGGGTATGTAAGAAAAATCAGAAAATTTCAACAGCCTCAGACCAATACTTTTTGAGTTATGTAAAAAAAACTACAGGGGGGGTCAAATTGACCCCCCCCCCGCAGGAATAGGGTTAAGAATTTGATCAAAAGTAAAGAAATTCAAACTTTTTAAAAATATTGGACTAATAAATGTGAATAGGTAGTTTAAGATTAAGTAAAAATAGTTTGAAAAAAGATTATATTTTTCTGTCCTTTTGAAGAAAGTTAAAGGTAGACCACATTTTACAGAACTTGAAAGTAGATGCAAACTTTCAGCTGTAAAAATACATTATATTTTTGATATTTTACATTTATTGTTTGTCTATAGCTTTAAAAATGAAAATAACTTTCGAATCAATATTAATATTGAAGAACTTTTAAAGGCTGGAAGGTGAAATGTCTTAGTTTTATTTCAATCCCTTTTTCATGAATGACGAGAACAGCATAATTGTGTAAATCCTATAAAGGCAGTTTCTTGCAACAAAATATTTTTACAAATTCCAAAAAATGAGCTTTGAAGATACTTTAAACATAAATAACACTTTTAAGAAAACAAGTCCTTTGATGATATTAGGGATTTTGTTAAATCTTCAAGAAAAAAAATAGTTTCAAAGATTCCTGATAAAGTTTAGGAAGCTTCAAAAACAAAAGTTTCAGAATTTTACAAGATTGACTGGTTGCAAAATAAAAAGGAGTTGAAAATGAATATTAATCATTAGTGAAACTAGTTAAAACTCTTCATAAAATGGTCTTGTTGACCACAAGATCGCCTAGAGCAGGCTGAATCATAAATAGATCTGGATGAAAAAGTTAAAACAATACATTATTTGTAATTTTTATATAGAATATTTCTTACATTTTTTAATTTAAAACAAAATTTAAGGTTAAACTTTTTAAACCTATTTTTAGGGACCAATCATTAATAAACATCCCTCTTTCGCTCTGGATGTTTTGTAGGCAACATAGGTTTTGGGAACCCTTGGTAAAGTAAAATCCCTTAACTTCCCTGTATAGCAGTTTTGAATAATTATAATTAAGTAAATAATTAAAAATCACTAATAAAAATTCTCTCTGAATTCAGATTTGTTATGAATGATCTTAGGATTCTTATTTTTTAAATTTGCATTAAACTATTTACTGGTACATATCTATGGCTGGGTATGTTAACGAATGGATAAATTATGCCTAAATCACTATAATCTCCCAAGAAGGGTCTGCTTCATTTGGTGTACCGTCCCGTTTTGCCAGGTATAATCTGTATGTGAACTGTACAGCTCGCTCTAGCTGGTTAAATGTCGGCCCGGTTCTTGAAATGAACCGGACTTAACAGCAAGATGTCGACATAAAAACAATAAACTCGTGTTAAATAAAGGGTGATTTAGTATGATTTTTTAGCTTTTATTGTATATTTTTATTGCTTTTTAGATTTAACATCTGGTATTTCCCTCTTTCATGGAAAGCCATTTGATGTTACAAGGACAGACCCTTTTAGTGAAGTAGAGTTTAGTAAAATAATGTATTGTTAAAAGGTTTAATGCTGCAGACTACAGTTATATAATTACAGGGAAGTTTGTTAGATGGTTGTCTCTATATCCTGGTGATCGTCCTCTTCTCTATCCTCTACAACCTCGCCAGGTTCTTCGAGTATGAAACTGTTGTGGAGAACATGTACGATCCTAGCACCAATAGCAGGTAGCAGGCTCACTCTAAATAGAAATCAATAAAAGTGAATAGAAATATATAGGAACTAGGCTTTTAGGGTTCTTCGAACCCTCCTCCCTGTAAATAATCTTAGCGTTTTACTGTTGCTCTGAAAGCCGGCTTTTTTTTTAATCATTTTAAAATTTTAACGGATTTTTCTTTTGGAATTGGCGCACATTATAAAAAATTTGTTTATGTTCCCTAAACCTACAATATAAAACAATAATAAGGAAATGTTCGCAAATTCTCAAATATTATTTTCCGGATTTTAAAATTTCATGAAATTTAAATTTTAAGTTAGGCAAATTTTTGAAATTTTGACCATCCATACGCCTTGCTTGGGGGTCATGTGAGGTCCCACTCAAAATGTTTGTCCGATCAGTTCAGCCGTTTTGACGTTCATTAGATACAAACAGACATAGAGATAAACAGACACCCAGACAATTGCAAATAAATAGAATTAAAAAGAGATGAAAAGAAAAAGACGGAAAAGATTAAAAGTCCCAAGGGATGAAGCTCCCAAGGGATGAAGCTAAACTAAAGTTTGAAAATAAAGTGAATAGATAAATACTACATTTCTTTTTCGGAAGTGAATAGATAAACATTAGTTTTCTGTATCGGAAGTGAATTCAATGGTTTTCAATAGAATTTACAGAATCCTGGTTTACATATTCTAAAAGTTCAAGAATATTTTCATTGAGATGTTTTTTTAGAAGTTTGATTATATTAAAAAGACAAAAACTTATATTTATCTCAAATCACATACAATTTTTAAAGGCCTGTTTTTAAGATTCCTAGAAATATTTGTCAGAAAATGGGATTCAGATTTTAAGATAATCGGTGAAATCAGAATCAATCAATAAATCATATATTTTGCTTCCTTCAATTAATGATATAAGACCAGTTTCCGAATTTAACCCTATCTCCGCTGGGGTACTTGAAAACCAGGATACGCTGGGGGGGGGTCAATTTGACCCCCCCCCCCTCTAAATCCCATGTTTTATGTCCAAATATGACAAATGATACATCATTAGAAAGCTCTTGTGCTCTACTTTTAGAATCTGCAAAAAAATTTGCAAATTTGCGAAAATTGAATTTTTTATCGCAAAATCCAGTTTTATAGTAAAAATGTTTGCAAAAAAAATTTGTCCAAAAAATGACAAATTATACATTTTTGAAAAGCCCTTGACCATGCCATTTCAAATATGCAAAAATTTTTGCAAAATTTTAAATAACCTGATTTTTAATTAAGAAAAACTAAAAATGTACAAATTTCCTTTGACAGGTTGTTTGCAAAAAATTTGCAATTTTTTTTTCGCAAAACTTGTGCAATCCGTTTCCTTATGTCATAGGCTTTCCAAAAAGCTAAATTTTATCAAAATCTGACAAGTGAAAGTGGGTCAAAACAAAGATTTAGTTTGCTACAGGCAAGAGCAGTCATTCAGGCAGTGTGCCTGAGGACTCAGGCAGTTAGTATTAAAGCCCGGTTTTAGGCCTAAAGGGAGGGCTTTGGGTATGTAAGAAAAGTCAGAAAATTTCAACAGCCTCAGACCAATACTTTTTGAGTTATGTAAAAAAAACTACAGGGGGGGGTCAAATTGACCCCCCCCCCAGCGGGAATAGGGTTAATGAATTTGAGCCGCGTCTTAAATCCACCAAAAACCGGTTTCAATTGAGCGCCGGCTTAAATCTTGAAGCAATAAATACGATATTAAGTTCTAACAACCATATTTGAGTAGCGGCTGAAATTTAAGCCACGGCTCAAATTCTTTCAATACGGCCTCAGAGTTTTAAACTTACCTTGGAAACACTATATTGTTAAATAGGTTTAGGTTAGATGAGTTTATGGAGGCTTCAAGATATTAAATGAAAAATATTCTTCAATTAGATTTTTTTACAATTAATTTCTTATCAAGCTTTTTGTTTCCATAACGGGTGCATATTCCAAAAAACAACGGTTCTCATAAAACTTTATCTGATTAATAATGTTGTAGATATCAGTTTCTAGCCTAAAATTATTTAATTTGGATATTTCTTGATTGTTTCTGAAACTTAAATACGCCAGTTACTTTTGAAAGGAAACCACAGCTTAAAAAAATCAGTTTTAATAAGAAAAACATTGATATTTTGAAAAGGAAATGATACTTTAAAGTAAATTGTTTCTCTGTGGAGTACCGGTATAGGGAATCGAGCATTTAGCTCTTTTAATGGAGGAGCACTTGAAATATGTAGACAGCCCCGCTAAAGGAATTGAGTCTTTGCCACAAACTCTGATTTTCTAACCTCTTTTATCTTTATCTCTATAACCTTTTGTTCAAGATTTTCAATATTTCAAACTATGAATGCTGTTAGATCAAATAATTTAAGTTTGAAATATCAAAGGTTTACAGCACCTGCAGTTTGCAAAGAAAAAGGAATTTGAACAAATGAGTTTGTGGCAAAGACTCAATTCCTTTGAGAATTTTTGGAATACTTGTTTTAAGATCGTTGTAAAGAAAAAGTTTTGAATTTTGCTGTTTCAATAAAACTTTATTATTCTCATTCTGGATAAATATAATTTAATTATGCTGACGTTTACTTGCCCTAACTATGTCATTTATATAAATTATAGAATCAAATCTCATTCCCACGACCGCCGCTATTTTGAAAATATTAAATTTTCAGCAACAAAAATTAATGAATTTAAGACTTTTAAGGAACTTCTCGTAATCTTATAATTAGTTAGAGTGCTAACCAGAAAACTGTATAATAAGAAGACGACATTAAAGCAATACTTAAAAGATTTTGATGTGATAGTGCGTGAACAGGGTCTGTTTACACTTCAAAACTGCTTTGTCTCATGTTCATTTGTTTATTTAAACTCATAACTTTAGTCTAAGAGTCGACTTTCTATTCCAAAGTTTTCTGGATATCACTGTATGTACATTTTCCTAAACCTAAGAGGCAAGCATTTAAAAAAAATTTAATTAAAGAATTTTTTATCGTGTATTTAATGTATTTACAAATCACGATAATTAAATCAATTAACTTAAATGAGTCTGTTCTTTGGACTATTTTAAGTCATTGCTTATAAGTCTGCAAGTCATCTTCCTATTCCATAGTTTTCTGGTTTCCACTGTAAGTTATAGCACATGGTAAAAGTTAAAGAAGCGAAATTTCTAGTATTTGACTTAAATCATTAGCTTGATGTAAACAAAACAGCAAAATTAACATTAATATTATGTTTGATGGAGTAATGTTTGTTATTAATAATAATTATTTCAGTACTGAGATCACAAAACTGGGTTTAACACCACTCAGACAAAATCCAGTTTACACAACTGTCTGCATACTTCTTAACACAGCTGTTATGGGTAAGTGTTAACTGTTATCATGTGTAAGTTGAGTACAGCTGTCAATAGGAAATGTTTAGCAGCTGTCATGGATTGTCTAAAAACTGTGTTAGTTTTGTATAGTTAATCATGAATACATTTTTAAGAGCTGTCATGGTTTTAGTTAAGTTTTTAAACAGTTGTTAGAAGTGAGTTTAAAAGGCGTAAATAAGGGGGGTTATTGGGGTTACTTACCCCCCCCCCCTAATCCTTGAGGTAATTACCACATAAACATCCCCGTTTAGAAACTTGATCTCTATTCTCCATGTCCATGATTACCATTAAGAGGAAAAATGTAAAAAAAAATTGCTTTTCGCAGATAATCTTACTCAATCAACTTTAACAAAGTAACAAAGATAAATTTTACTAAAAAGTTGAGTTATTAATGCAGTAGCGTGCACTATATGTCAAATTTTGTATAATTAGCTATTCCAGGGGGGGGGGCAAAATAAAATGTTAAAAGATCAAGATTATAAAAAATTAAATTTTAAAAAGCAAGACATTTTTCTTTTCATATAGTTACCCGTAGAAAACAAAATTTGAAAAAAAATTAAATTTTTTAGCCTGTAACAGCCCCTTTTGGCCAGCTATAGGCAACATATATATATACGAATACCATGTTTTATAATATAGATATTATATGCATGATGATTGAAATAAATCCAGCTTTTCACAGAATAAATGTTATAGTCAATCTAATTAGTGAATATATCAGAAAGGTGACCACTAGAGACTTTAGAAAAAAAGCTCTCACTCATCAGTTTTTACCTACGCTGGGTGATTGGATTTTGACTTAGGACAAATTTCATGAGAAACACTAGCTCAAAAGGCAGTCTCTGTGCAAGTATACAAATATGTTTCAAGTATAAGGCCCTTAAATATGAGTTATATCGGCGTGCTGCACGCGCAAAATGTTAAAATTTACATCCCCCTAGAAAATCTTTATTTACGCCCCTGGAGAGTTTTTAACAAGTGTAAGTAATTTGTTTAATTGTAGTCACATGTAAGTTTTTGACAACTATTGTTTAGAAATATTGTCTAATAGCTGTCACAGTTAAGTTCTTAACAGCTGTCATGGGTAAGTTGGTGAAGAACTATCCTGTATTAGTTTTTTAACATTAGTCATGGATAAGTTATTTTAAGAGCTGTTATGAGTAAGTTAAGTAACAGTTGTAAAAAGCGTCCTGGGCAATTTGTGTAATTGCTTAAATGGGTAGGTTTTTAACAACTATAGAAAGAAATATTGTCTAATAGCTGTCACAGTTAAGTTTTTAACAGCTGTCATGGGATAGTTTTGTAATGATAGTCAGGACTAAGTTATTTTTTACAGATGCCATGTTTAATTTTTTAAACAGCTGTAAAAAAATGTTTACAACCATTATTTGTATGTTTTAACTATTATCATGGGAAAATGTAGTATAGTAACTGTCATTGGTTGTCATGTTCATGAGATGTTATGGATTAGTTTTTTAGACAGTTGTAATAACTTGGAAAGCCTACAAAGCTCTGAATTATCAAAAATTCTGCTAAATCTAGAAATAAATTAGAGGTTATTCTATTTTTGTTGTTAAGAATGAATTGCTGTCATAAAGTAATCAGATCATAAAGATGAAAAGAAATTCCTTTGATGAGCCTATAAAACATTTGAGGACAAAGAATAAAGAGAATATGAAATTGACATTAGAAATAACAGTCAAAATGTGAAAACCTCTTATACAGTAAAAACTCCCGAGTTTTGGGATTTGTTGTCCAAAAGTACTTCAATTTATTCTATTAAGAGCTGCTATTGACTATTGATATTTCTGATATTTCTGAGAAGAGAAAATTGCAGAAGACAATTTAAGGATTTAAGGAATTGATTGTTCCATAATTCCAGGTATATTCCCCATCGTCACCCTCTCTATCCTCAACTTTAAGATCATCAAGAAGATGAGGAAAGCCAACCTTGTTCACAACAGGATAGCCACAAACCAGAGGTATTATTTAGGTTGGGTTTGGCATCAGCCTAATTACATTTTGAATTATAAACTATTACACTGTCTAGAAACATTTTAGGTTGTGTGATCTTTAACAATTTTCTAGCTTTGAGGAAAGCCTTTGTATAAAGAAATTAGATTGGAAAGGGATTGAGAATATAATAAAAAATGCAACTTTAATAATGATATTTAAGGCGGGATGGTGCAATGACTGCCCTTCTCTCCGGAGTTGTGGTGGTTCTCATTCTCTGCCACACACCAAAGACTATCATTAACATGTATGAGTCATACCAGGTTAGAAACAAGTTTTAGTTAAGATTCTCTAAAGTATACACCCCTCTCTTTAAATGTTAATGTGGGGTTCTCCAAAGTATACACCTCTCTGTTTAGATGTTAATGTGGGGTTATCCAAAGTTTATACCCCTCTGTTTAGATGTTAATATGGGGTTCTCCAAAGTTTATACCCCCTGTTTAGATGTTAATATGGGGTTCTCTAAAGTATAATACCCCTCTCTTTAGATGTTAATGTGTGGTTCTCTAAAGTATAAACCCCTCTCTTTAGATGTTAACGTGGGGTTCTCCAAAGTATACACCTCTCTGTTTAGATGTTAATGTGGGGTTCTCCAAAGTTTATACCCATCTGTTTAGATGTTAATATGGGGTTTTCTAAAGTATAATACCCCTCTCTTTAGATGTTAATGTGTGGTTCTCTAAAGTATACACCCCTCTCTTTAGATGTTAATGTGTGGTTCTCTAAAGTATATTCCCCTCTGTTTAGATATTAATATGGGTTCTCTAAAGTTTATCTTTAGATGTTAATGTGTGGTTCTCTAAAGTATACACCCCTCTCTTTAGATGTTAATGTGTGGTTCTCTAAAGTATATTCCCCTCTGTTTAGATGTTAATATATGGGGTTCTCTAAAGTATAATACCCCTCTCTTTAGATGTTAATGCGTGGTTCTCTAAAGTATACACCCCTCTCTTTAGATGTTTTTGTGGGGTTCTCTAAAGTATACACCCCTCTGTTTAGATGTTAATATGGAGTTCTCCAAAGTATACACCCCTCTGTTTAGATGTTAATGTGGGGTTCTCCAAAGTATACACCCCTCTGTTTAGATGTTAATGTGGGGTTCTCCAAAGTATACACCCCTCTGTTTAGATGTTAATGTGGGGTTCTCTAAAGTATACACCCCTGTGGGGTAGACTGGTGATTAAACTGAGCCATCTTCTTCTGACTGTATCATCCGCAGTAAACATCCTCATCTACTCATACAAGGTAATTTAACATTTTACATAATATCCAAAAAATTTACCCCTCTTTGATTTGTATGCTCAACCTACCCTGTATGTAGTATCTTAACTTAAAAAATGTTTTATAATCATTAAGATTTGGGATTAAAAACTGTGTCTTGAATTTGTAAAAAAATATGGGATTATTGTTTAAAAGTAAATGCGTCCAGAAATGTAGGTTATTTTTCATGAACATAGTGTCATAAATACAGCACAACTTCTATTTTATAAACCCTTAATCCTACAGTACTACTAATTTAAAGATCCTTAATCCAACAGTACAACTTCTAATTTCAAAATCCTAAATTCTGGTTTGTAAATTCTTAATCCTCAATGAATTTTAGAGCCTAGTGGTGGTTATAAACCTTTTCCCCCAAATAATAAATGTGTATGCATTAAATCCCAGGGTTTACATAATGAAATCTTCTCTGCATCTACTGCTTTTCAGAAATATTAAATAAAATTTTTTTACACTTTTATAAGTTTGTATATAACAGCTTACAATGCCACAAACACCCCATAAGTGAAAAAGCCATATAAGATTGGCACTCATTTATTGTTTTACAACAGGGGATTACTTTTTGTGCCAAAACCAGTCTAGAAAATATATAAAAATATATATGAGGTTTGTCCTTGTTTGGAACTGATGTCAAAGGAAACCAAAATGTTCTTAAACTGCTGGTTTGATAAGACAAAACTCGAATTTTTAAAAAATCTTAATGTACCCTGTTATTTTTAACCTATTATTTTTAACCAGTTATTTTTACCCTTTTACTTATGTTCTCCAGGATTTGAAGTTCCGGTGTGTAATATCCTTAATGTTTACAAAGACATACACATGTACTCTTTGTATTCATTCCACCTCTGTTCTTCAGAATGTGAAGGTCCACCATGTTGTTTTTCATGTTGTTATGTATTCCATCAAAATGTTTTGAACGAATCAGTAATCGATGTGCTCAAAAAGAGAAGAACTATTAAGAGGGAGTTTTTTATTTACTTTTTGTGATTATTCCTACAAAGCAGGAATTACTTCTATGGTATAAAGCAATAGTTTGATGCCATTGATGGCACAATCCACAAACAACCCCCTCTTTGCCTAGACCAGAAATCTTGACTTTTGTTTACTATAAACTAGTTCCCAAGCTGTCTAAATATGTCACAAACTTTCTCTGAATCTTTTTAGTTCTAATCTCATGGAAAAATTGATGTTTATTAATTTAGGTTTATTTGTGTTTAAATTGAAAATATTTTAAGAAAGGAAAAAGTTTGTTTAATTCAGTTAAGCCTCCACTTTACAGCATGCACTTTAATGTTACAATAATATCAAGTTTCACTGTATATTTAAGATCCTGGGTAGTACTATTTTGAATAATAAAGTATAAAAATGTTTATCATATTTTGGACAAATTTTGTATTAAAGATCAAAATATAATTTGTAATTAGTCAAGGGCGTACACATAAATAAATGTAAGGGGAGGCCAAATATGCTTGAAGTGCAAAATTGCCTGGGGGGGGGGGGCAAAATTTGAACTGTAAATTAAAACATTTGGCTTCTTGGATACTTTAAAGGTACACATAAGTCCAGTTACCTTGCAAGTACTACTTTATCTCTCCTTCAAACAAAACTAGCAGAAAAAAAGCCAGCAAACTAATTTTTTATGTTCTTCACTCTTCAGTTTCAGATTTAAGAAGTGTGATAGCTCTGAGTTCTATGGGAGGCTACGCCCCCTTTTACAGGTCTAGGGGGCACTGCCACCCTTGCCCCCCCCCTGTGTACGCCCTTGTTTTATGAAGTTTCTTCATATTGGTTTAATGTTTCCATTTTTCAATATTATATGGTTTTTTTTTTGCATTCTCTAGTTTATTTGTTACAGGTTTCCATCATTCAATATTCTAGGGTTTATTATTGCATTTTCTAGTTTATTTTATAAAGGTTTTCAATATTCAATATTCTAGGATTTTTTGTTGCATTTTCTAGTTTATTTGAAAAAGGTTTCCATTATTCAATATTCTAGGGTTTATTATTGTATTCTCTAGTTTATTTGATAAAGGTTTTCAATATTCAATATTATAGGGTTTATTATTGCATTCTCTAGTTTATTTGATACAGGTTTTTCAGTATTCAATATTCTAGGGTTTATTATTGCATTTTCTAGTTTATTTGATACAGGTTTTTCAGTATTCAATATTCTAGGGTTTTTTATTTCATTTTCAAGTTTATTTGATACAAGTTTTTCAGTATTCAATATTATATGTGTTTATTATTTTAGTACTAAGTTTTATTTTTGTATTTTTTTGTTTATTTGATACAGGTTTTCAGTATTCAATATTATATGTGTTTATTATTTTAGTACTAAGTTTTATTTTTGTATTTTTTTGTTTATTTGATACAGGTTTTCAGTATTCAATATTATATGGGTTTATTATTTTAGTACTGAGTTTTATTTTTGTATTTTTTTGTTTATTTGATACAGGTTTTCAGTATTCAATATTATATGGGTTTATTATTGTAGTACTGAGTTTTATTTTTGTATTTTTTTTGTTTATTTGATACAGGTTTTCAGTATTCAATATTATATGTGTTTATTATTTTAGTACTAAGTTTTATTTTTGTATTTTTTTGTTTATTTGATACAGGTTTTCAGTATTCAATATTATATGGGTTTATTATTTTAGTACTGAGTTTTATTTTTGTATTTTTTTGTTTATTTGATACAGGTTTTCAGTATTCAATATTATATGGGTTTATTATTTTAGTACTAAGTTTTATTTTTGTATTTTTTTGTTTATTTGATACAGGTTTTCAGTATTCAATATTATATGGGTTTATTATTTTAGTACTGAGTTTTATTTTTGTATTTTTTTGTTTATTTGATACAGGTTTTCAGTATTCAATATTATATGGGTTTATTATTGTAGTATTGAGTTAATTTATTAATTGTGTAATCAATATTCTTAGTTTTTATTTTTTGTATTTTTGAGTTTATTTGTTAAAGGTTTTAAGCATTTTACATTCTATGATCAAAGTATAATGACATTTTTAATTTTAATTTATTTCTTTCCTTTAAAAATTACTTGATGTGTTTAAGAAATAAAAAATATCAAACTTTTAACCTATTACAGTAGAATCATAAATTATATATCTGAGTTTACAATAACAAATTGACAATTATTTTAACAGTAGAATAAAACAATTCGGTGGAAAATAGCTCTTGGCTGTTTTGATAATGGTTCCACCTAATTTTAATAAAGATAACTAAGCATTTGAATGAAATAGATTTGAGGAGAACTAATGGAGATCAGGATGCAATTTTATCTCATCCAAATTATTTTTAACATTTGTTAGAATCAAATCATATTAAAACATATTTAATTAGTTTTGCATTAATAACAATTCCGTTTATAACACATTGTAATGTGATTTTCAAAAGTTTAGTAGTCTATTTTTGATGTATGGGTGAAAGGTATTTACCCAAAAGTGACTTCCAAAGTGACAATTTCCCAAGCGGCAACTTCCTAATATCACACAGGGTATAACTGATGATGGTACTGAATACTGATTGCATTTAATTGTTTTGTGCGTAAAGGTACAAGGAACTGGAAGTTGTACAAAATGGAAAGGACATTAAATTTTAATATGATAATTCTCCAATTTGTATTGCATCCTTGTGTTTAACTAGATGTACATGTGTACTCTGTTTAGTCAATCAAAATTGTATTTTAGGAATCAAGATCAGCATTAACATAGGCTTCTGAAAAGCAGCAAAGGGGCTATATACGAATATTTCTATGGGGGGGGGGGGCTTAATTAAAAAATTTTCAAGGCTGGATTGACTTGGGAAGAATACACCCTTCAGTTGATAGTCTAGAGACCCATAGCCCCTCACTGTATTACCCCTGGTGTTGCTTCCTCCTGTTTGACATGATGAACATCTGTACTCTTCATCACCTTTTCTTCTTTTTTCAGGACCTCAAGTTTAGATGTGTTGTGTCATCAGTGTTTGTTAAAATGTACACAACCTGCAGGGACATGTGCTGTAAACATCAGAAAGAAGGTGATAACTAAGAAAATATAAAATGATCTTAAAGGCTGAATGATGCAAATATGACATTGCATGCATAGAATATATAGAGAGGAATTTACTAGAAAAAAGTGTAAAACGGCCATTTTGTTGTACTGTTTCCATACTGCAGGTGTACTTCACATATTTATGCTATATAACCTGTTGGGCCCTGGAATATCATTTTATAGAAAATCTAAGATTATTGTTATAAGAAAACCAAATTATGAAATAGGCTGGTTTCATAATTGACCAATGATCATTTACATAGACTCTATGCCTTCCACTTTATAAACGATGATTTTCCGTTATCACTATAAATCAAATGATGTTTTTATTCACCTAATTCATTATAAAGTTTATTTAACAGCTTTAAAATTTTGAAATTGAAATGTTTAGTCTAGGGATCATACTGTATTAATGTACTCTACTGCATATAATTTGTGAACATTTACATGATTTGTCCACTTTGAACTCCCTTTCAGGCTGAAAGGGACTGAAAAAATTCATACCGAGAGATTCTTTTAATTCCTCTCTATATATTCTATTCTCTATGATTGCATATTAGACATTTTTATATTTCACTCAACTTGATTAATTAAAAATTTTAACTAGACAGATTTACAAAAATCAAAAAAGTTAGAATTTTTTCCATGCACAATTTTTCCATGCACAATTTTTCCATGCACAATTTTTCTATTTCTACCAGTCATGCCCCCTGCACTCCCAAGGGTCATGCCCCCTGCACTCCCAAGGGTCATGCCCCCTGCACTCCCAAGGGTCATGCCCCCTGCACTCCCAAGGGTCATGCAAAATGTCAAATAAATGATTGGTTCAGCCGTTTTGAGGTTTATTGTATACAAGCAATCAGACAAACCAAATATATAAATATTTATTCATTTAAACAGAAGTTAACATTTCTTTACAAGCACCTTTCAAACACAAATTCTTTGTACAAAGCTATTAAAAAGAAGATACACATTAAAATCATTTTATGCCACTGAACTATACTATTGAACCTATGTAAACCTATTTAAAAATCAGTTTAAAGTTTTAATTTCTTTGAATATGATATCAAAAAGTAATGGGAAAATCTAAATAATTTTTTTAATCTTTTAGGAATTTCAAGCATTGAGCTTCTTGAGTTGAAATCTGCAGTTAATCCTAATCATCATCATGATGTAAACAACATCACTACTGCTCCACTAGTGAGTGAAACCAATATTAATCTAATCTCCCATCATACCTAAACCATACCTGGAGCTAAGGCTAGATCTACCCCTTATGCCTGGAGGTATGATTAGATCTAACCCTTACCTAACCCTAACTATTATTAGATCTAAACCTAACCTTGAGCTAAGGTTAGCTTAGATCTTAACCCTACCCAGAGCTATGTTTAAAGTTATGCTCATTAAACCCTATCTGGAACTTTAGTTAAATCTATCCTCTTACTGGAGCTTTGGTCATATCTATCCTTAACCTGGATCTAATGACATCATCGGATCTAAACCCTCCTGGAGCTATGATTAATTTTAACCATACACCAAGCAAACCCTTAATCCTAAACCTGAAACCGAGATCAAGAGATCTTAAACTTTTTCAGAAGCAAGTTTGATAAATAGTGAAATATCCAGTAAATTAAAGTTTGATAAATAGTGAAATATCCTGTAAATGAAAGTTTGATAAATAGTGAAATATCCTGTAAATTAAAGTTTGATAAATAGTGAAATATCCTGTAAATGAAGGAGTGATAAGGCTTCTTGAACATTTAAATGAAATGTCAAGTATGAAACATTATATCTTGTCAAGTTGTCAAGTTGTGACCCAAGCCAAAATAAAGTTGTAATGTCTTGTAAAGACCAGGCAACAAAAACATATTTTTCCAGAAAGAAAAGAAATAGTTTTCAGAAAAATGAAAAATATATAATCCCAAGAAGATTTTGATGATAATAATAGATACATAAATGTGGAAATAATGGCATATAAATAAATTTAAAAGAAAGAAATGACCTGCATTCTACAATTTTGATTATTTTCTGAAAAATATTATTTTCCCGGTCCAAAGTGAATGTCCCAATAAACATGGGAATTGGATGACTACGTTGAGAGTCTTCATTTCAGAATTAGCATTCTAAAACCTAATTCTAAAAATCATGATAAAATTTACGTCTTCTTGAGTTTATTTTATAAAAGTGTTTAAAAACTGTTATATATTCTGCACAATTGTATATAATGTGTATGCAATATTTCAGCAAAATGAACAGTAAAGTGGGACAACTGTATTTTGTTTGCATATTGGAATTTTCTCATTTTACGACAATACAACCACAGAACAGAGATTATAATTTATAACAGAAGGAAAATAATGATTAATTTTACTTCTTTTCAGGTTTAACAAGTTCAAGTACCAGATGTAATGAATAGGCAGATGTTATTAAACTACTTCTTTGCAGTTCAGTTACTTTTCGCTATTCAATAAATCTAGTCTCAATGTTCATTGGGAAATTCTGAAAATATGAAACAATTGACACTATTGAGTAAACAGCACAAGTGCTCAAACAAAACAGTACACATTGAAATTTACTGAATTTGAACCTGGGCCGAATATTGCTCATATTGAGTCCCATCACAGTATAGACATATAATTTTTCAATAATTGTTTTTGTTTTTAATACTTTAAATAATTTAAAATCTAATTTTACTGCTATTCTGTTTTATCTTAAAAAATCTATTTAATCAAAATTCATTCAATGCTCTTGGATTTCCTATAGAGGAAATCAATCTAAGAGAAGTACTGCAGATGTCAGTAAATGAAAAATTATTGTTTTCTTCTAATGGAAAAAGAAAAGGTATTCTGTAGCTTTTTCTTTATATTGCAGACCAGTGATTTCATAAAAAGGTTAGGATTCATGCACTTAAATCCTAATATATAAATGATTTATTTACAAGTTAGAACCTTTTACTTAAAAGGTTTATGTACATTTTAATCATAATATTTAGAAGATTCATGTACAAGTTAGGTCCTAATATCTAAAAGTTGTATGAACACCTTAGATCCTTATATCTAAAAGATTTAAGTACAACTTAGAAACTAATATCTAAAAGATTCATCAACTTAAAGGACCTAATAACTAAAAGATGTATGTTCAAGTATTTAGATCCTACTATTCTTTCAACTTAAAAGATGAAAACTCTGTACTATAAATAACTTTATTTTTAAAGATATCTGAATTTCTAAATTTATACAACCTGTTTAAAAATTAGACATTTCAAACTTGGAATTTTTGATCTAGCAGAATTCAAAATTTAAAATATCAAGTTTGCAGCATTAGGTTTGAAGGAAGAATTAAAAAAAGAGGAAAGAAATCAGTTCCTTCACCTACCTACATAATCTACTATTTACTAAAATATTTGGAAAAATGTAATATTTATGAATTGTCAGAATGTCCACTTATTGTAATAATGTGTCAAGATGTTTCATGTTTCATGTCTATGATAGAACTATACACTAGGATATAAAATAACAGCTTTATTGGAAATTTAAAAGGAAATTATTTTACCATAAAAAAAACAAATCTTGCTACAAATGAGAGTGGCTGAGTTTTGCTCATATGAATTGTCAGTCAAACCAATTACAATATTTTCTTTATGATACTTAACCATGTTGTGAAATAGAGAACTATATTAAGGAAAAATATACACGAAACACGACAGTTGGTAATTAGTTTTGAATGTTGTTTTTCATACACTTTAATAGATATTAAATCCTGTTTGCAGTTTATTTCGTTTAAAAAATCTTTTGCTCAAATATATTTTACTTTGAAGTTAATTTTACTATAATGACTCCTATATGATATTTTTATTATTGTCTTTGGTATTAGACAACAAATTATGGAAGAAGACATTCTAAACTATTTACCAACTGTCATATATCGTGGGACACCCTGTATTTAAATCTTAACTTCCATAGTTTTATCCGTGAGCATTATTTCTAATTAGAATTATGATTTATATTTAATTATTACATGATATTTATTGTCATCTCATATTGTTTAATGTAACTATTTGTAAATATATTTAAAGGTTTTTCTAAAAATGAGAAATATTAACAATAATTTGAATTTGAAGTAGTATTATAGATCATTTGGTAATAAAAGTAAATGTGTATAAAATGTATCATCATAATCATAATCATGTTAAATTATTTTTGAAAGAAAATCTCAACTTTATTATTTTTAAAATCATTAATTCTTACAAAAGATAAAAAATTCAACTATTTTCAAATTCTCTTTTATAGAAAAATAGAAAGTATTCCCAGTGTAAATGTTGTATATTTTTTAATAAAAATTAAATAAAAAATGTTGTTTTATTGGGGCATGGTTGAGAATCTGTTATCATTTTTACAATTACTCCTTTAGAAATTGAAGCTAAAAACAAACTTTTTAAAGCTTTGTAATCTCAATCTTAATCCAGGGCTTTAAAAAAAACGCATGGTTGGAATGGCCAAAGTCAGGCTGGGCTGGTATTATTATTTGGTGAATGATGATCCTACTTTTAAACCAAACGGGACTGTAAGTGCTCAATTCACAACGGTACCCTGTAAACCTTTGACAGACAATTGAATGCAGAGAACCCCGTGTGTTTATCTCTTAAATGATGTTGAACATACTGCTCAATAACTGAAGTTTAAACTAGTGTGCAGTGTGAACTCAACGCAACTCCGAAATATTCTTAGTCCAAATATTTTTTCTCAAAATTAAAAAAAAATATTTTCAGCGACTGTTAGAAAGTAAATTTTAGTACTTCTTTAGTATCAAACATCTTGAAATCAAAGTGTTTAACAATTCCAAGTGTTTTTGCTTTAAAGGGCACTGTTTTGAATCAGGGAATTTGATTCACAATGCTTTGTTCTTGCATTATCGTGCGAAGATGTAGTTTTAGAATTCTAACAATAAGTATGGTTTTTTTCTATTTTATTATTGTCATACTTCATCATCTTATTTTCTTAATTTTCTTTGTTGTTTTAATTATTTTCTTTCCTTTTATTACTTTTGCTAATTCTTTTTATTTTATTTCTGTTTTTATTTTTGTTAATTCTTCTTCTTTTCTTTTCTTTTTACTTTTGTTAATTCTTCTAATTTTCTTTCCTATTTTCTTTAATTTTTCTTATTTTCTTTTCTTTTGTTTTTCTTAATTTTTCTTTTTGTTCTTTCCTATTTTATTTCTATTAATTCTTCTTATTTTCTTTCCTATTTTATTTTGTTAATTCTTCTTATTTTCTTTCCTATTTTATGTTTGTTAATTCTTGTTATTTTCTTTCCTATTTTATTTTGTTAATTCTTATTTTCTTTCCTGTTTTAATTTGGTTAATTCTTCTAATTTTCTTTCCTATTTTATTTTTGTTAATTCTTCTTTTTTTCTTTCATATTTTATTTTTCTTAATTCGTCTTATTATTTCTATCCTTTTCTTATTTTTATTGATTCTTCTTATTTTCTTGCTTCTTTTGTAAATAAAGATTATAAATTTTGAAGTAGTGCAAACATTACCAAGCCAGTTAATTAAATGATTTCATTAAAACTTTTCTGATTTTAAATATTTGCTGATTTTTAGATTGAATAGAAACTTTTTTTTACAAGTCTTCAGATGTAATATTAAATGAGCCCCCCCCCAGGGGGCCATGCGTTGGGGGTGGGCCCGTGCATCCAAGTCCCCCTTGTGCGCCCCTGCTGACGTTCCTGATTGAAAATTCGTTCCTGATTTTAACATTCTTTTCAAGCAATTTGCGTTCGTTCCAGGTTCGTTCTTTTAATAATCATTCCAATATTCTTTAGAACGCGTTCTATGTGTTCGTTTTTTCGGAACGATGGGATCTTTCTTGTTAATTCTCTCTGTTCTTGTGAAAGATCCCCAGAAAGACGCCCAGCCCTACCTGGGGTTAAACCCATTTCTCTTGTGTTATCAGGCGCGTAGTCAGGAATTTGTCAAGGGGTAGGCTTAAATATTTTAATATTTTTTCTTTTCAGGAGGGGGGGCTCAACAGTTGTTGTGCCTAAAAATCCCCTGCAATCCATAGATTTCGCTGGTCCAGGGGAGTGGCTGAGCCCCCATAGCCCCCCCCCCCTGACTACTCCTACAGTGTTATACACATCTATTCTAATATCAGGCCTAGCTGTATAAATATTGTAAATACAATAAATAAATATTGTTAGATATCAATATCTATATTTCACAAGATCAGCTAAATAAGTTCTATAAGTTCTATCACATATAAATAAGTCTGCTATGTTGTGGTCAAGTTTTTCTGAACCATTGAACTTTTTTTTTAAACTTTGGCCTTTTTTGTCAAAATGCTTAATAAAATTAAATTTTTTTCCATAAACAAACCAAAAATTTTAGAACTATGAGATTAAACTCCTAGCCTAAAGAAGAACATTTATTGCTATAAAGATAGAAAAGCATAATAGATTTCCACGCTCTACAACCCTATCTAACCCTCTAACCCTAACCCTCTATCTTCGTTGGGTTTGCCCCCCCCCCCCCCTGTACAAAGTAATATATGAAGCTGTTGAAACAATTTCTTTTATCATATTTGAATTAAATGTCTATATTTCTGACAGTGCCATGACACATCAAGAATATATCTGTCCTTGTGTTTCTTTATATTTTACTTTGGCCTTCAAAATGCATTATTTGATCCAAGAATAGAATACAGGTAATTTCAAATAGAAAGAGAGATCGGAAGAAATTATAAAATGTCGTATTCCATACTTTCTGATAATGAATTGCTGCAGATATTTAGTTTTTTAATTAAAAGATTAAATGAATATGTTCTCGTATATTTATTATTATTATATTAATATTTATCTGTTTTTGAAATTACTGAAATTTACTTATACTAAAGGGTGTTGAAAAAAACACATTACACTTTTCTCTTTCACATCCGATGCATGATGAAATTTATATCACAGTCTCTCTAGGACGTTAGGACTTCATAGTAAAAAAATTACCGGATTTGGTCAACCCTGCTCTGAATAAATGCTCTTTGTCTCTTGGGTATGAATTTGATCAGCCTACGGGGCTGGGATTTCCTATTCTGGCTACACGCTTCAGATGATAGAGCGTTTCACATTTCTTCCTTGCAACCTTCTTTTTTGCCATGGCCCAAAGATTCTCAAGTATAGGCTGGACATTATTTAACTTCGCGATTATTGTCAGGTGTACCGTGTATACTAAACTTTGATTGAAACTATTGCTGACAGTAAACGAGGCTGTTTCGTCCTGGCAGCAAGCTAATGGACCATGCTAGAGTAGATCTACGCAAGGAATAGATTTAGGATAGTATAATATATATTCCTTCTTGCAATAAAATATATAGTAATGATCCCCAGAAGATGTTCTCCATGTTGAAGGAGAAGTGAAGGAATCTGGAATTGGTTCTGCATTTGCCTAGAAATGGTGGTTTACAGTGTCCTCCAAACTGGTGTTTGGTCATATTAGCTCCACCCTCAACTTGTAATCTGTAAACTAACAAAGTTTTAAGAGTTTTAGGCTTATATTGAACACATTTAAAAAGATTTTAGATCAGAGTTGACCAAATCTGATAATTTGTATACCACATGTATTCCTAACATCCTAGGGACATTGTGATATTAATTTCATTATGATTGGATAATAAATAATAATTAGGCATGTGAGAGAAAAAATTGTAAAGTGTTTTGGTTTTTTCCCAACACCCTTTAGTATAAAACCCATTGAAAAATTGTTAACCCTATTCCTGCTGGGGGGGGGGGTCAATTTGACCCCCCCCCCTGTAGTTTTTTTTACATAACTCAAAAAGTATTGGTCTGAGGCTGTTAAAACTTTCTGACTTTTCTTACATACCCAAAGCCCTCCCTTTAGGCCTAAAACCGGGCTTTAATACTAACTGCCTGAGTCCTCAGGCACACTGCCTGAATGACTGCTTTTGCCTGTAACAAACTAAATCTTTGTTTTGACCCACTTTCACTTGTCAGATTTTGAAAAAATTTAGCTTTTTGGAAAGCCCATCACATTAGGAAACGGATTGAACAAGTTTTGCGGAAAAAAAAATTGCAAATTTTTTGCAAACAACCTGTCAAAGGAAATTTGCACATTTTTAGTTTTTCTTGATTAAAAATCAGGTTATTTAAAATTTTGCAAAAATTTTTGCATATTTGAAATGGCATGGTCAAGGGCTTTTCAAAAATGAATAATGTTTCATTTTTTGGACAAATTTTTTTTTGCAAACATTTTTACTATATAACTGGATTTTGCGATAAAAAATTCAATTTTTGCAAATTTGAAATTTTTTTTGCAGATTCTAAAAGTAGAGCACAAGAGCTTTCTAATGATGTCTCATTTGTCATATTTGGACATAAAACATGGGATTTAGAGGGGGGGGGGGGTCAAATTCACCCCCCCAGCATATCCTGGTTTTCAAGTACCCCAGCAGAGATAGGTTTAAGACGACATTATATATATTCTTTCAATCTCTCCAAATCTCTGGGGTAAACTGTATGTAAAATGATTTTACTATGACAGGAAATGTTGTGTTCAAAGTTTCTATATTTCAGTGAAAATTTAGAACTTATGAATTCCTTACCGGTGGGACAAAACTTGAATTAAAGGGATTGTTTCTCTTTTTACAAATTTTTCCATTTATTCAGATTGAGACCTTCTCAAGGAGGTTCCCAAGGGCTAGAAAGAGCAATAATATACATAAAAAATACATAAAAAACATGAGTTATATGTGAACCATTTTAAAAAACAATAATTTTGCGACCTTTGAATTTATTAAAAAAAAAACTTCCTATGTTTTTTTTAAAAACCCAAGCCCCTCAACAGACACCTTTCAAAAAATAGCCATTATCAACAAACATTAATTAAGAAAATTTTACAAAAGTAAAGATATACAGCTTTTCAATCTGCATACACTATTTCAATTAAAATGAAAAACAATATTTAAAAATGATGAAAATGATGAAAATGATGAAAATGATGAAAATGATGAAAATGATGAAAATATAAAGAGAACATTGATAAAAATGAGGCTGGATGTATTAAATTATATCTATCTGACAAGATTACTTGATTCCAAATCAAATATTTGATATAAAAAAGAAGAACGAAGACAGAGGGTCTCTTTAAAAATGTTTTCTTACATAATCATAAAAATAATTTGAATGTTAATTAGGAAAGTGTGTAAACATGATATTCTGTAAACTTGCAGTACGCTGTACATAACAAATTATTTAATGTTCTAAACTTAGACATTATTCATTAAAACTGCGTTTTAATCTAATTCTTAACATAATTAGCTTAAATCATGCGACATAATTAAATTACGCTGTAAAATATGGACAGAGGTAGATTAACTGCGTTATATCTATTCTCTTTAATTCTTTAAAGACGTACCTTAAACTTTAACTGTGCCATATATACGTAATACGATGGTCTTAATCATGATGTGTACCTAGATAATTGATATAGACCGATACACCTTGTGTACAAGCCTGACAGTTAGTCCTATATCTATTGGATGCTTGTGTCCCTGTGTGGTATATAGAACCTAGATAATTGATATAGACCGATACGCCTTGTGTACAACCCTGACAGTTAGTCCTATATCTATTGGATGCTTGTGTCCCTGTGTGGTATATAGAACCGGTCCTGGTTGAGTAAAGAGTCTAAGCTTGAGTCCTACATATTGGATGCTAGTGTCCCTGTGTGACATTTAGAACCGGTCCTTGTTGAATATAGAGTCTCACATTTGTCCTTTATATTATTGGATGCAATTGTGTCCCTGTGTGACATTTAGAGCCGGTCCTGGTTGAGTATAAGTCTAAGCTTGAGTCCTATATTACTGGATACTTGTGTCCTTGTGCAACATTTAGAGCTGGTCCTGGTTGAATATAGAGTCTCACATTTGTCCTTTATATTATTGGATGCTTGTGTCCTGGTGTGACATTTAGAGCCGGTTCTGGTTAAATATATAGTCTGAGATTTGTCCTATGATATTGGACGCTTGTGTTGTGTGTCATTTAGAGTCGGTCCTGTTTGATTGGGTTAACTGATAGACCTGGATAGATACGTCTCAAGTAAATTGTTATGGAGTAGGTGTTTGCTACAGGAAAAGTTTTAAATAAAGAAAGTTCAGGATTTTGTTGTATTTTGGGGAAAATAACGATTTTTCGCATTTCACTGGAAACTAAAGTCTTATTTTGCGTAGTTTTATTTTCCATTTTTAGATTTATTAATCGTTCCCTGTAAACAGTTTATGGTGATAAGTACAATTTAATTTCTCAACTGAAAAATTCTTTTTCATCAGGAACACTTGGAAAGGAAGCCTTTGTGTCTCTTTTGAAAAAGAAAATAAATGAGAAAAATTAAATATTTTTCTAAATCCACTTTTTTAAGAACGCAGTGATCCCAGATTATTATTTCTTTAAAAGAATTTAAGAATCATGCTTCATAATTTGCTAGTGATTTGATATGTCATATTTGAAGGATAAGATTAAAATTATTACTCTTGAATTTCTTGACAGACAGTTTAACAACTCAGCAAGCTTTTACTTCGACTCCATTAAGCTTTTTTCATGCATTCGCTATTTCTCTTTTCGAGTCAGTATTATTGTCTAGAATTTAGAAGTATGAAAATCATAGTTATCAAAGTATGGTTGGTTACAACAAACACCAAAACGGCTGAACCAATTAACTAAGATATTGTTTTCAAAATTATTTAAAATCTCGAAATCTTCACTTAATTTCCATGTTTGTTGGGACACACTGGACAAGGAAAAAATCTTTGCTGATGAATTAAAGGGATTGTAAGCGTAATTTCAAGTGACCCTCCAAGCAAAGGTGGCAATGCCCGATTTACAACGGTACCCTTAAAAGCTTTGCCTGACCAAGCAGGAATTTGATCGTCCTTATTTTCATTTGCGGGTTCTCTTCTCTGCGAAAGTGACTTGGACATTTGTTGTTTTTAAAAAGCAATGGAGAAACTCACAGAAAAAAAAACACTGTTCGGGTCTGAAAAACGACAGTATCTTCCACATTTTTTATAAGATTAAGGTTTACACCCCCCCCCCTAATTTAACTCAGGTGGGGGGAAGGTAGTGGACCAATGGCGGATACAAGGGGTGGGGGTACCTTCGCCCACCCCTGATTAACTCAGGGGGGGGCCTTGACCCCCCGTGGGATTTTAAGGCAAAAAATGTTCCCAATTTGCTAAAAAAAATTCCTAAGTTATTTAATTGTTTGTACCCATTTCTCAAGTTATTTGAAGGAATTGTGATATTAAATACAAAAACAAAGAACTTGGTATATCAAATCAGAGATAAGAAGAAATGTCGTACTTAAAATAGAAAAAAAAGGTAGTTTAAGCAATTTAGGATTTTAGGAACAAGATAAACAAAAGAACTAGGAATATTATAGGTTTTTTTTTAAAAACGGAACAATGCAACAACACAAATGTTGGGTTTGGTGAGTTAGGAACAAAAAAGGAAGAACTACATTAGGATAATCAAAAGAGGAACAAAAGAACAATAAAATGGGAACTATAACAGGAACATTGACTACTGATCAAGCTCGGAACAAGCAACAAAAAAAACAGGAGTTCCACACGTGCAAATAGGAAAATAAAAGGATTTGAGCTTTTTGATCTTTGCAGGCATTTACAATTTTCATCCTTTACTTTCCCTGTATTCAAAATAAGGTATTGGCTATTCGTGTTTAAAAATTTTCCGTTAACTTATACATTTATTTATAGATTAACTTATATTTATACATCTTATACCTCCAGTTTTTATTTTGTTTTAATGCAAAAAGCTTCATAAAAACTTAATGCAAAACATCTATCTTAATAAACTATAATGTATGATAAGTTTAAAATCTAGATTTTCAATCTTTAGTCATTAATTTTGACCCTTTTTGAGTTTTTCAGGACAAACTAATTTTTCGTCTGCGGCAGGCCTCTTATTTTTTCCAACTTTAAGACTTTTTGTACCTAACAAAATCTACCATCCCCCCCCTGGCTTAAATCCTGCATCCGCCCCTGTATGGATCGCCCACCCACCCAAGAAACCGCCATAAATCCGTGCTACTTTACGTAATTCAGACTAAGTAAAAGTTATTAAAAGAGTAATATTTCATGTTGGGATTTAATGAAATTTCTGAGAATTACAGGGTGTCCCACATCATATTAGATCCTTTAAAGCTCTAAATTGAGATTTAAGGGAATTATCAGAAAATTGTTAAGAAATTCATCGTTTCGAAAAAATGTAGAAGGCCAATATAAAAATTTTTCTTGCAGAAAATATCAACTCTTCGAGTGTTATGTGTTTATTTTCGCGTTAACGCTTTGGAGATAATCTAATATCATGTGGGACGCTCTGTATGTTTCTAAAATTTGCATAAAAATAAATAAAGGATAACTTTTGTATAACAATAAATAAAGGATACATTTTGTATGAAAATAAATAAAGAATAAAAATTGTATGAAAATGAATAAAGAATAAAGTTTATATAAAAATAAATAAAGGATAAAGTTTGCATGAAAATAAATAAAGGATAAAGTAAAGTTTATATAAAAATAAATAAAGGACAAAGTTTATATAAAAATAAATACAGGATAAAGTTTATATAAAAATAAATAAAGGTGTTTCGCAACTGGCGTTGCCCGGGGTTATACAAAAATCTAGTACCGTGCCGTATTTTGTTGGGCCGTACCGTAAGCTTCTCTACTCTCGTCCCTTCTCATGATGAATCAAAAACACAGGAAAGGCTTCAAGTTTTATTATGGATCGGAACTTCAGTCTAACAAAAAATAAAACTTTTTAGACTACAGAAAAGCTTTGACGAGTATAATACAAACATTTTCCATCAAAAACATAGACATTACACTCATCAGGCGTTAAAAACTGCAATCCAGCCAAATAATCATAATATACTATACAAAACACAAAAAGAATACTTTAATAATTTAGAAGCATAATTAGCACAGTAGTCCGCCGACACGATAATTAGCACGAAAACATTCTATAATTATTTAAATCCTTGAATACATTTTTAATACCTATAGGTAACTGCAAAAACACACGAGTTCGCCACGTCTCCGCAGTACACAACAGCTGCCGGTAAAAACAGGTTCTTTGTCTCCAACTCTTTCTTAGAAACAATCATACAGAACAAGGATAAATAGTTCCTCCCTGTAAAAAACAGGGATACTTCATAGACTTCTACTACGCAGCGTGTGCTAGCGCAACAAAAGGATAAAGTTTATGTAAAAATAAATAAAGGATAAAGTTTGTATGAAAATAAATAAAGGATCAAGTTTGTATAAAAATGAATAAAGGATAAAGTTTATATAAAAATAAATAAAGGATAAAGTTTGCATGAAAATAAATAAAGGAAAAAGTTTGTATAAAAATAAATAAAGAATAAAGTTTGTATAAAAATAAACAAAGGATAAAGTTTGTATAAGAATAAAAAAAAGAATCAAGTTTGTATAAAAATAAATAAAGAATAAAGTTTGTATAAAAATAAATAAAGGATCAAGTTTGTATGAAAATAAATAAAGAATAAAGTTTGTATGAAAATGAATAAAGGATAAAGTTTGTATAATAATAAATAAAGGATAAAGTTTGTATAAGAATAAATAAAGGATCAAGTTTGAATGAAAATTAAAAAATGGTAAATTTTGTATGAAAATAATAAAGCTTATATACTTCAAACTAAGACTAAAAACAGAATCGATTTAAGTTTGACATCATTCTCATAGGTTTGAAGATTCCAGCATGATGTAATCATTGCAATACTTTAGTCTATCCATACAGTTGTTGTCGCTCAGGAACAAGATTCTGACGATGAACATATAGACAAGGAATAACCCTCAAATCAAAATCGATAATGCAGAAAACTCTTTATTTCCTAAAAAAAATGAAATGAATAATGATAAATAATTATTACAATGGTTTACAAATTTATAATATAGTTAAGTGCATTCATCAATNCCCTCCTGGTTCCTTTCTTGTTTCTCCAGTTCTTAACCCAATCTTCCTGGTTCTCCTCCTGATTTCTTCTGGAATTCTTGGTTCCCCTCTTGGTTCTATCCCTGCTTCCTTGGTTCTTCTCCGGGGTTTTAACAGGATGATCTGGTGTCCCACCTGTTTTTTTTCCAGATTGCCAGGTTGACCTCTTGAATTTCCTGGCATGATTGGAGGAAGGGTCGAAAGGCTCCACCCAGGTGACTATGTTGGAGGGGACAGATCCGTACACCATGTATCCCTGGGTCAGGTTGCTCCGGTACAGGGCCATTCCCTGTGAGTCACGCTCAATCTCTGAAGGAAAGAATAAATTGTTGTCGCCGCCAAGTAGAATTTCTACTTGGCCTGTATGCTGTGAGGTCGAGGTCCCCATGAATGAATGGTCGAAAGAGTTGACCTGGAGATGAGGCTGAGTTGACAGCCGGTGTCATACTGGATTCCTATCTTCGTCCCACCCAGGTTCAAGGTTTCGACTAAGGGAACAGACTGGTTGGTTGGGGCTGAAATTGTTTGGTTTGGTTTCTTGTCTCCGAGAGGAGCTTTTAGGTTGAAGACGACATTACATGGAGGGGGGGGGGGTCTTAATGTTAATGGTTGACAACAGTATGCCCTGACGTGACCAGATTTAATTAAATATAGTTTTATCTTCGAGAATTGCTTTAAACCATTTAATATTTGGAGGACGAGGATTTTGAGGTGACGCGGACGAAAAAATTTTGTGGCTGCCCCTCCTCGCACTCAAAGGTCTATCAAAATTAAGAATATTTCTTGAATTATAAAATACCGTTACTCCCATCACTTTTAGTTTTAGAACGTAGAAATTAATATTACTAGTTTAAAAGTTGATTAACGTTGATGGTTTCAAATATCTTCTAACGTGACAGAGTGCAAAGTGCAAACATTTTTTGCACTAGTTGATTATTTCATAATTTAAAATTGTCAAAATAATTTTATAATTTGAAACAAACTTATAACAAGATTTAAATTCAAATGAATTGTTGACATTAAATAAACTGAATTATTTTGGTATCAAATTGAATTATAAACTTACATGAAATTCCATGAATTTAGATGAATTTTCTAAAATTGGGTTAAACATTACTCCAAGAAATGTTTATTACATTTTTTTTAATTCATAGAAATATACACTGTAAGGTGTCTACGAATATACACTGTAAGGTGTCTACGAATATACACTGTAAGGTGTCTACGAATATACACTGTTACACTGTAAGGTGTCTACGAATATACACTGTAAGGTGTCTACGAATATACAATGTAAGGTGTCTACGAATGACTAATTTTAGAAAATAGATGCTCGCGTAGAAGCGTTTCTTATCACAATTTGTACCCTGTGAACTAATCTATATTTTTAGCTCAATAAAAATATCTAAAAACTCTATTATATGATCTAAAGTTTGAAAAATCCTTAAAAAGCTCCAAAAGAAAAAATACTTGAATTTATCATGTAATTTATCATTGTCTTCGTTTTTTGATCAGGAAACTAGGGATGAGCATATTTTAACTTTTTCTATCCGTTTCGTCAAACGATTAATTCCAACCGTTAACAATAATATTCAGGTAGCCTTTATTTTAAAAGGTAAGAACGAAGCGTTCGTTTCATTAACGGTATTTCCCGTTTTTTAAGTTACCGTAAGTTACCAATTTCGATTTTATTAACGGCTTAAAGGTTTTTTTTCTTATATTTAAAAAAAGGTTTTCCAAAACTTCAAAAAATTCCATCAAAAGTCAAAGGTTGGCCAATTCATTAAATGGGTCATACTAAAAATACGCTACACTATAAAAACGCTACACTAAAAAACGCTACACTAAAAATACGCTACACTAAAAAAACGCTACACTAAAAAATCGCTACATAGGCTATATTCGCTACAAGTTTATTGCCTGTTTCTGTGTGTGTATAAGTTTATAATTTATGGAGATATATATTCGCTACTATTCTAAAATAAAATATATATAAAATATATATAATCTATATNTGTGGTACACTTATAATTTTTCCATTAATGACTATGAGAATGTAAAAGTATATATCTCTTAAATTATAAACTTATGATTTATTTTCAATTTACGACTATGTGAATTTTAAAATCTTGTACACAAACAGAAACAGGCAATAAACTTGTAGCGAATATAGCCTATGTAGCGTTTTTTTAGTGTAGCGTTTTTTTAGTGTAGCGTATTTTTAGTGTAGCGTTTTTTTAGTGTAGCGTTTTTTTAGTGTAGCGTTTTTTAGGGTAGCGTTTTTATAGATACACCATTAAATGACATCGTTTGTATAAACTATTTACAAAAACAAACTCCTTGAATTATTTGTTGAAGTGATTAAAGTTGTATTTTCTATCATTCAAACTCCAAATATAAATCCTAGGGACGTCAAGGTCTACCGTTGCCTCTCTTCCACTAAGGGTTAATGCAAAGGCTTTACTTTCGATTCCAGTACCAATTTCATAAACTGTCCCTTTCTGGTTATTCATATAGCTCCTATAGTTCAATGTCTATCTCTCAGAGTATGAATAAAAAGATTCATTTATTAGTTTATATTTTATTGATACAAATATATTTGTTTCAGTTCAATTCTATCTTAGTACATTGTGTACAGATATCCATAATTCTCTGGTGTAATTAAGTCGCTCCCTCAACTTCTGTTCTGTATCTAACTAGGCAGCTCCCTCAACTCGATATCTCGTTCAGCTGCTCCTGTTCAGTATCTAACTAGGCAGCTCCCTCAACTCGATATTTTAGTCAGCTGCTCCAGTTCAGTATCTCCTATACTGTAATCCTGGATGATACTGTAGCTGCTTCTAATGTCTCTCTAAGTCAGCTTCTCCTAGAGTCTCTGTTGTGTTAGTTGTATATTACCGAGCTGTTCCTTGAGTCTCTGATATATTAGCTGTACATTACTGAGCTGCTCCTTGATCCTCTGACATGTTAGCTATACATTACCGAGCTGCTCCTTGAGTCTCTGATATGTTAGCTGTGCATTACCGAGCTGCTCCTTGATTCTCTGATATGTTAGTTGTACATTACGGAGCTGCTCTTTGAGTCTCTGATATGTTAGCTGTATATTACTGAGCTGCTACTTGATCCTCTGACACTCTGGTTGCGGAGATTCTCCTACCATCTGAGATGCTCCTACCAGCTGAGATGTGTCCATGCTATCCACAACTGCTCCTAGAGTATGAGATATACCCACGATATACACAGCTGCTCCTACTACCTGAGATGCTCTCAATAACCGAGAAGCTTCCACTAGCTGAGATGCTTCCCTTACATTCCCAACTGCTGCTACAATAGGTCTGTGAAGAGCTGTTTGTGAAGAGCAACATATACTGCCCCAAGATTATCTGGTATGTTGCTCTTGGAGAGCTAGGTCTGGCGGAATGCTCCAGTTCTTCTCTATATCTTGGATATCGTATTTCCTATCTGTATCCTAGTTCATGATATCCTAGAGCTTCTGGTCTCTCTCTGTATCCTGGACATTCTAGTTCCTGATATCCTAGTTACCCTCGGTATCCTAGTGCTTCTATAGTTCCTCTTTATATCCTGGATATCCTTGTTCATGGATATCATATTTATCTCCTATATCCTAATTAGTATTTTAGACGGGCTGATACATCATTGTTATCATCATTATTGTCATCATTGTTATCAGTGTTGTTATCATCATTGTTAGCATCATTGTTGTCATCATTGCTATCATTGTTGTTGTCATCAGTGTTATCATCATTGTTGTCATTGTTGTTATCATAGTTGTTATCATCATGGTTATAGTAGTTGTTATCATAATTGTTATCATCATGGTTATAGTCGTTGTTATCATCATTGTTGGCATCTTGTTATCATCATGACAATCATCATTGTAATCTTAACTGTTATTCTCAATATTATCATCATTATTCATAGTTTGCTCTCTAGCTCTAGTGAACCTTTCACTAGGCTCGGCTCGAACCTCAAGAGTAGTTGAACTAACTGTAGATTTACTCTATACCTCCAGTGAACCTATAGGGAGGCTCTTCTGGAGTATCTAGAGTAGTTGAACTATCTGTAGATTTACTCTATACCTCCACTGAACCTATAGGGAGGCTCTTCTGGAGTATCTTGAGTAGTTGAACTATCTGTAGATTTACTCTATATCTCCAGTGAACCTATAGGGAGGCTCTTCTGTAGTATCTAGAGTAGTGGATGATGAG